CTTGTTGTCTCGGATTCTCCAGCATCTGCAGTTCCTACTACCACTATCATATAGTACATTTCAAAATTGGCGTTTGTTTCTATAGATGAGGGAAGTCAGCAATTTTAAAACAATTTTAAAGAGGTTAGGACCCAGTTAATATCCACAGATATAGACATAACATTTAAATAGTTTTGGTTCAATTTCCAGGATGCTTCACTGCAGGACATGAAATAGAAAGTTATTTTTCTGTTAATGGGAGGCATGGTTCAGCAAACCAGGATTTCTGAACTCCAATTACAATGTTGCATGGTTGGGCATAGTTTTGCATTGATTGCACTCCTGGAGGCTATTATTTAGGGCAGCATGGTGGCTCACTGGTTAGCACTGTTGCGTCACAGTGTCAGGGACCTGGGTTTGATTCCAACCTTGAGCAACTGTCTGTGTGGAGTCTGCGTGGGTTTACTCTGGGTGCTTCAGTTTCCTCCCACAGTCCAAAGATGCACAAGCTAGGTGGCTTGGCCATGGTAAAATGCCCATAGTGTCCAGGGATGTGTAGGTTAGGTGCATTAGCAACAAGAAATGCAGGGTTACAGGGATGGGTCTGTGTAGGATTCTCTTTGGAGGGTTGGTGTGGGTTTGTTGGGCTGAATGGCCTGTTTCCACACTGTAGGGATTCTAAGTCACCATCCTACATTTGTTACCCTGGATGTTAAACGATAGATAAAATTTAACCCTCAAATGGGGGCATTTTCCCAGGTAAGGGAGTCAATTATGCACGCATACAGAAAGTTATATCCTCTGACATTGATATCAGGAAGGGTTTGAACATTATATGTCCACTTCCGGATTTTTGAAGAACGGTGAAGGTTTTAAGGTGTGTGAACTCCCTCAGAATCCATAAATTGTAAAGGAAATTAAAAAGTCAATTAATAATCACTTCAACTTTCATTTCTAGATTTCATAACCAGGAAACCTGCTCCCCTGAAGCAGCACTGAGGCTGGAAGAGCTTCTTGGTGAACCTGAGAAGCTGGGAATGTTTGGGTCAGTTAGTGTGATGAACTGCAGCCATGGCTATTGACAGGCTGCTGTTCAAGACAATTCTTGAGAGTCCTATTGCTAATTGTCAGGCAAATGTTAACTTTTTGAGTGCCACTTCACCTGTCTTGCACTTCAGTAACTTTCAGCTGTCCTTCCCTGATGTCAAACTTCACACAGCCTGGAAGCAGCTTTTGCAGCTCCACTTTGTATCTCTGCTAAGGGTAAAAAACAGAGGTTACACCATTGTCAATAGTATGAGCAGGAAAAACACTAATAGTAGCAGCTGCTGTCTTCTCATCAACCACGTGTCCTTCCATATGACAAAGGGCAAGGATAACAAGATGCACATTTTGCAGGCTACATAGATTCCCTGGAGCAGACAACACTGTTATCTGTGTAGTCCATGAAACGCTCCTTATTAATATTATAAAAGCCACACAAGCCACACAGCTATCAGCTATGTAAAATAAATCTTCCCTCTAAAAGTTAAATGTTATTACTTCCTAATAGTAATGAATCACTACCTCATTAAGATTATGTCTCATTACTACATATTCTAATTAATTATTATTGTATTGATCCAACAACTTTAATAGGTATTTAACTTCAAACCAGTCGGAGAGAAAAAAAAAGCCCTTCATGATGGAGTTAAATTTTCATAATAATCAGTAGGTTCTTCCAAAAAGGATTATAGGAAATGCAGTTTTGGCTCACTGGATTAGATTCTGCAGTAATTTATTTGACTTCCCTGAGTGACAGATGGTCTTTCAGATAATTCATTTTTTAACTAAAACAAGTGCATTTGCTTCAAATGAATCATATTGGAAATATAACATTTCTAATATTACATTTGTCCAACGTTGTCTGCTCCATTGAAAGAAACTGCAGTTAGTCTTATTTTAAGATGAGCATATATGCTGTTGTAAATACTCATGATGACTCTCTAGGACATGTTAAACCCAATGATTTTGTTTTTATTCACAGAAAACAGCATTTGAAAGCATTCAGTACCCACTTTGTGCTTGGTCTTATTTTGTTATTTTTATATATGACTATGATATCTTGTTATTTATTGATCAGTGGGAAACCTACAGAAGCTTAGGAAGCAGCAGACTAGAAATGGAACCTATTTCACTCTTAATTTTGACAACATTTTACCTCTTGCTTTCTGTAATGGAGCAGATATTCCTGGCAGTCATATTAAGGGGGCCTGCCATGAGGAATTTCTCCGTGTTTCTGCTTTTCGGAGGAACATTTTGCTCAACAAGCATGCAGTCATCTATTCGTCTTCTGACACAGGTCTCCAATCACTTTCTTCTCACCAACATCATCTGTGAAACTTGGGTCACCTGAACAACACACAGTTCTATATCTCTCTCAGGCTCTCAATCCCTCCAGTGCCTCTCTATTGTCAAACTACTTACCCAATGTCTTGGGTGAACTGTAATTTTGAGTTAAACATTGAAAAATCTGACACAATTGGCCTTGACTCTCCCATAAATCCTGTACTCTTGCTGCCCATTCTGTCCCTCTTCCTGACCACAGTGGCAGTGTATTGTTTGACTCCATACCTCCTTCATGACAAAGATTAGCAAGTTTCACCTCCGTAACATCATCTGCTTAAAGTAGTTTGTGGATGATACAAGAATAGGTAGGAAGGCAAAAGGTGAGGACGGCACAAAGTGTCTATGGAAGGATATAGGCAGGTTAAGAGAGTGGACAAAAACGTGGCAGATTAAATATAATGTGGGAAAATGTGAGATTATGTATTTTTAAAGACAAGAATAAAGGAGCGGAACATTATTTAACTGAAAAGACTGCAGAAAACTACAGCACAGAGATTTGAGCGCCCACGTGCGCAAATCACAGAAAGTTAGCATAAAAGTTCCAAAGGTAATAGAGAAGGCAAATGGAATGTTGGCCTATATTTCAAAGGGAATGGAATACAGAAATTAGGAAATCTTGCTAAATCTATATAAGGCACTAATCAGACCACAGTTGGAATACTGTGAACTGTTTTGACCCCTTTTATCTAAGGAAAGATATACTGGTATTGAAAGCAATCTAGAGAAGGTTCATTCAGGACTATCTTATGAGGAGAAGTTGAGTAGTTTGGGCCTGTAGTCATTGATGTTTACAAGAATCAGAGGCAACCTTATTGAAACATTCAAGATCCTTAGGAAATTTGATGGGGTAGGTATAGAAAAGCTGTTTCCCCTTGTGGGAGAGTCTAGGATTAGGACATAATTGTAGAGTAAGTGTTACCCACTTTAAGGCAGAATGAGGAGGAATTTATTCTCTCAGATGGGAATGAATCTGTGGAATTCTTTACTGCAGAGGGCTGCCAAGATGTTAAATATATTCAAGGCTGAGATAGACAGATTTTTAATGTGTAAGGGAATCACTGGATCTGTGGAAAAAGCAGGAAAGTGGAGTTGAGGATTAACTGATCAATCATATTGTCATTGAATGGCAAAGAAGACTTGATGGGCTGAATGTTCTACCTGTGCTCCTCAATCTTATGGTTTCACGGTATTATATCTCTACAACACTCCACAGAAACCCTTGTTCATACCTTTGTTATCTCTGGATGCCACTGCTCTAAACTTCTCCAAAACTCTGTTGACTGTACCTTGGCCGAGACCAAGTTTTGCTCATCCATCCACCCTATAATGCATATGCCTCCAATGTACAATCTTCAAGCGTAAATCACTTTATGGCCTTGCACCTTCCTATCTCTGCCATCTCTTGCAAACCTAAACTGCAACCCAGCCAAGTCCAAGACTGTGGAACCTGCTGTTAATCAGCAGATAAGAGAAACATGTAGCATGAGCAACACAGTCATCAAGGATGACTTAAATTTGCATATGGACTCAGTAAAGCAGTTAAACATGAAAGCTGTGGAGGATGAGTTTCTGCAGTGTGTTAGGGATGCTTTTCTAGTCAAAAAACCAACTAGAGGACATGCTATTTTAGATCCAATATTATATAATGAAAAAGGAATAATTACCAATCTTCTTGGAAAACAACCTACGGATGAATGATTACCAGATGACAGAATTTTACATTCGGTCTAAAAATTGGTTCTGTGTCCTCTTTTGTTTGTCATTCATACAAATGAATTGGATGAGAATATAAAAGGAATGTTTAGTAAGTTTGTGGACGACATCAAAATTGGTGGCATAGTAGACAGTGAAGACGGTTTTCTAAGATTACAAAGGATCAAATGGGCAAATGGGCTGAAAAATGGCAGATGGAGTTCAATCTGGATAAATGCAAGTTGTTGCAGTTTGGTACAACAAACAAGGGTAGGACTTATACAATTACTTCTAGGGCCTTGGATAGTATTGTAGAACAGAGGGACTTAGGGGTTCAAGTACATAATTCTTTGAAGTTTGCGTCATATATAGACAGGATTGTTAAGAAGGTGTTTGGCATGCTTGCCTTCATCACTCATCCTTTTGAGTATAGGAGTTGGAAATTCATGTTGAGGTTGTACAGGACATTGGTGAGGCCTCTCCTGGGGTATTGTGTCCTGTTCTGGTCACCCAGTTGTAGGGAGGATATTATTAAGCTAAAGATAGTTCAGAAGAGATTAATCCGGATGATGCAAGGTACGGAAGGTTTGAGTTGTACAGGAAGGCTGGATAGGCTGGGACATTTTTCACTGAAGCATAGGAGGTTGAGAGGCGACCTTATGGAAGTTTATAAAATAATAGGGTGTAAAGGTAGAGTTATTGGTAGCTGTCTTTTCCGTAGGATGGGGAATTTCAAGACTAGGGGGCATATTTTTAAGGAGAGCAGAGAGAGATTTTAAAAAGACATGAGCGGCAATTTTTTTATACAAAGAGTCGTTCACATGTGGAATGAACTTCCTTAGGAAGTGGTGGATGCGCGTACAATTACAATGTTTAAAAGACATTTGGATAGATGCATGAATAGGAAAGATTTGGAGAGATATGGGCCAGGAGCAGGCAGGTGGGACTAGTTTAGTTTGGGATTGTTTTCGGCATGGACTGCTTGGACTGAAGGGTCTGTTCCCACACTGTATGACCCTGTAACTCTATGAGGTAGTTCATTCTGAAGCAAGGGTATTAAATTCAATTAAGTGAAATTATGAAGGCATAAGGCACAAACTGACTGAGGTGGATTGGAAAATACATCAAAAGGCCTGACTGTACACAGGAAATGCATTGTCTGTAAAGAGCTATTGTATAACTTACAGCAAGTATACATTCCTTTAAGGTGCAAAATCTCACAAAAGGTCAGTCAGCTACGGCAAAGGAACGTCAAGATTGTATAAAATTAAAAGAAAAGGCCTTTAAAGTTCTCAGAAACAGCAGTAATCCTGAGGATTGGGAGGTTTATAGGATATAACAAAGGTTGTTCAAAAAAACAATAGGGAAAACAAAATATGAATGCAATGAAGCAAAAACATAAAAATGGTCCATAAAAGTGTTTACTGATGTGTAAAAAGAAAATATTTGGCTAAAATGAATGTGGGTCCATTACAGCCAGAGTCAGGAGACTTTATGAGGTGGACGAGGGAAATGGCAGAGAAGAGAGTTTTCACTGAATAAGATATCAGAAATCTCCCAGAGATTTCCTGGAGATTTAAGTGGCAAGGGAGAATGAGGAGTTGAAGGAAATTAGCATCAGTAAGAAGATTGTACTCATGAAATGAATGGGGCTGAAAGTTAATAAATCCTCAAGATTTGAAAGCTTCATCCTGGAGCTTTGATGGAAGTGGCTGTAGAGATCAAGGATGCATTGGTGTCATCTTCTAAAATTCTACAGGTTATGCAATGATTCCTGTGATTAAAAGGTGGCAAATGTCAACCCATTTCTTAAAAAGGGAGTGAGAAAGTAAACAGAACCACAAACCTGTTAGCCTCACATCAGTAGTAGGGAAATTGCTAGAATCTAGAATGCTAGAAAGGATAGGCTATATAGACACCTGGTTGATGATAACTTGATTGTGCATAGCCAGTGTGGATTTATAAATGGTAAATCATGTTTATGAACTTGTTAGAGTTTTTTGAAGATGTTACTAACATAATTGATAAAGGAGAGCCAATGAGTGTAGTATACTTAGAACTTCAGAAGGCTTTTGATAAAGTCTCCCACAGGAGGTCAGTTAGACACATTAAAGCACATGGGATAGGAAGTAACATATTGGCATGGATTAATGGTTGGCTAACAGAGGGAAAAGAGAGAGTTGGAATAAATGGGTCATTCTCACAGTGGTCAGCTGTGACTAGTGGGGTACTGTAAGGGTCAATATTTGGGTTCCAACTGTGCACAAAATATATCAAAGATTTGGAGTTAGGGACCAAATGTTATATTTCAAAATTTGCAGATGACACAAAGCTAGGTGAGAATGTGAGTTGTGAGGAAGATGTTAAGTGGTTTCAGGATGATTTCGACAGGTTTAGTGAATGGGCAAGAACATGGCCGATGGAATATAATGTGGAAAAATGTGAGGTTATCAACTTTGGTATGAAAAACAGATGTACACAGTATTTCTTAAATGATGAGGATGGAAAGTGTACATGTTCAAAGGGACCCAGGTATCCTTATCAATAAGCCACTGAAAGCTAACTTACAGGTACCACACTCTATTAGGAAGGTGATGGAAGGTTAGCCTTTACTGCAAGAGGATTTGAGTATGGAATAGCAAAGTGTTGCTTTAATTGTATAGGAGCTTGGTTAGATCACACATGGAGTATTATGTGCAGCTTTGGCCTTATTATCTCAAGAATGATATTATTGCCATAGAAGTAGTGCAGCTAAAGTTCACCAGAGTTTGTTCCTGCATTGATGCGATTGCCCTGCAATGATGAGATTGGGTAAACTGGGCCTGTATTCTCTCAAATTTTGAAGAATGAGAGGTGATCTTATTGAAAATTCTAAAATACATAAAGGGATAGAGAGGATAGGTGCAGGTAAGATGTTTCTACTGGTTAGTGCACCTAGATCCAGGGACACAATTTAAAAATAAGGAGGATGGCAAATAGGTATGAGATGAAAACAAAGTTTTTTGTTACTTGGAGTACTGTAAACCTTTGGAACTCTCTAATACTGAGGGCAGTGGAAGTTGTGTCTTTGCATTTGTTTAAGGTAGATGTTAATAGATTTCTGATTACCAATGGCAGACAGGTTTATGGGGATAAGGAGGTTAAAAGATATTGAAGTGTTTGATCAGCCACGATCATATTGAATGGCAGGGCAGGCTCAACAGGCTAAATGGCCAATTTGTGTTCCTATGCTCCCGTGTACGACTGGATTCTTACACTCCACACATTGCCCTCAAGGTGGCAGTGGTGGGAAGAACCATTGTCTGCCTCCTTCTGGAATGTGCCTTTTCTAAGATGCTTTTTATAAAAGTGTGTTTTTTTTGTCATGGTTTATCTCAAATATCTCCATGTAATAAGATTTTGCTGTCACCAGGGACACACTGAGGTAAACAACTGCAACTGGAGAATCCTCAATTCAGTAAAAGGTGCTCTTTAATCTGCCCATAACCTGTTTGTTTTCTAGTGCAACGTTGTTGACTGACACATTATTATACCCAGGACTAAATGCTGAAGGACGTAATAAACGTTCAGGAAACACCATTGTTTGAGATCTTTCTGTCATGTGCATACACCGAGGGCTTGAGAACTGAGAATGCTCACAAATCTATATGTTTGATATAAACTGAACATTGTTAATATTGACTGCAATAGTAAATGTACTAAGTGACTTACAGCTTTGGAAGAAACTGGGTTACTTACACTTTTCATATCGTCAATGTTAAATGGTAATGCAAAGTACTTTCATAAAGTTCATGAATTAAGTACATTTTTGGAGAAAGAATTGGCCTGTACTTTCAAGAATTTGCCCACCATCCAGGTGACAATTAACCAGGGGTTTTGCTCCCTGGAGATCATGCCAAGCACTCAGTGCAGACCCAACAGGGTGATGAGTCAGAAGTGGTCCTGACAATAATCTACTGGTGGAAATTTTGAACCAATTTTACACTTGAATAAATGAAAGTGCTGTTTCTTCCAAAGGTAAAATATCCTGTATTATTCCACAATCTGTAGTGTGTAAAAGCTTGATTATAGGATAGGGTACTAAAATCCTCTGTTGATCTGTGAAACAAATTCAGTTTTGATTTTAAAAATCTAACAAATCATAGTATTGCCTGACAGACGCACCAGTAATGTGCCTTTTTTCCCTCCTGCAGGTCCTTCAATACCTGTGGGTGTCGACGTACAGGTAGAAAGTCTGGACAGCATATCAGAAGTGGATATGGTAATTCATTAAATTTGCACAATGTATCAGCACTCTTTGACTATGTATTCACATGTTGTGTTGAAATGATTTAATTTGAGAGCATAAATAAACTGATGGATCAGTGTGGTGACCTAATTCTCAAATTGCTGGCTTGAAGAACAGAAAATACCATCTGTGCTTAGCAGAAACATAATCTGATTATTTTGTGTTTGCTACATTTTCTCACAGGACTTTACAATGACACTGTACCTGAGGCATTACTGGAAAGATGAGCGCCTTGCATTTCCAAGCACTAACAACTTGAGCATGACCTTTGATGGGAGGCTGGTCAAAAAGATTTGGGTTCCTGATATGTTCTTTGTACATTCAAAGCGGTCCTTTATACATGATACAACCACAGACAATATCATGTTGCGTGTCTATCCTGATGGAAAGGTATTGTACAGTTTGAGGTAAGCAGACAAAAAGAAGCACGGTGCATGCAATAGCAACCTGCATTAAGGGAAGAAATTGTTATTCGTATCACCTATGTTTAGTTTTGACAAAGGACATTTTCTTTTCTTTAATAAAAATCAGATCCTGTTTCAATTACAATAGGAGTCCAAACATCAAATAATACATTATTTTGTTCAGTCTGTAGCAAGGAAGAGTAGGTTGATTACCAGCTCATGTGTTCCCTACACTTGTTCCTCTTTTGTCAATGAAAATATCTCCACTGAAATTCAGCTATGGTACCACATGTTCATTGGACAACATTAAATTCTTTAATTCTGTATATACTGTGCACAATTGCAGAAACCATATTTCAAAACACAGGACACAAATTATGCACAATTATTGGAACTTTGTGTTTAACTTTGCAACAGAAGCACAGAATTGTTACAGTGCAGAAGTAGGCCATTTGATCCATCATGTTTGCCGCAGCTTTCCAAATTAGAATCATGACTTCAGTCATTCACCTGAATTTTCCCCATAACTTTGTACATTGTTTCAATTTAAATAATCATCCAATGCCCTCCCGAATGCTTCAATTGAACCTGCCTACACTACACATTTACGCAATGCATTCCAGAAAAACTGGGCTCTCTCTCTCTCTTTCCATCACTGTGACTTCAACCGAGGTTCAGTACAAACCCTGTTTAAGTGCAAATACACTTGGGGAATTTTTACACAAATTCACCAGATGGAAACTTTTGGCGTCAAATGGATAGCCAGTTTTAAACCCAGTTCAATATTTCCTTCCACTGACTGCAAAAATTATTGTTATTCAGAGGGAGGAGATCAAAAATCAATGCTGATAGATATATCACCTACCTGTCTGGTGTATATTTATTGACTATATTCCAGACAACCCTTATCTTATCCTGGAAGAATACGGAGATAACAAAATTGAAGGAAGAGATGACTTGTTTACTGTGTTGCAAGCTGTCTGCCATGTCACAAATCCCTGGGGTCGAGCATTGGAAATCAAACACTACTCTTCCTGTATTGAACATTTGAGTAGATCCCTGAATTGTCCAATTTTATCTAAATGCTAAATTCAAGTTATAAGAACATGCACAGCTGATCTTTTCATCACTAACAAGAAAATCAGTATTTATTGAAAACAGTTTTAACGAATGGAAAGAAGGAAACATGAATTGCTAACTTATAACTCTATAAATTGAACTCTCACACTTTTAAAATATTTCCACACACATACAAAGAGACAAGACACAAATATTACAGGTATGAAGGGAACAAAGTCAGTACAGCACAAATCTGGGTGCAGTCCAGATTGTTGGCATTGATGAGTTGTTTTATTTCAGTTGCTTTCCAATTTCTTTCCACATTTTGATGAGGACATGAGGTTGTGAGCACACTGATTTTTCAATCTTTCGTTGAAGATTCAGCCTTTCAGTGTCTGGTAGTTTTTGGTCTTTTCCTTTCAAGAAGGGAATTTGCAGAGGGAGGGAGAGGAGCTAGCAGCTTAGAACTTTCTTTCACTTCTCCACTCACAGAAGGGAGAGAGAGATTTAAATGTTTTCTTTTTCACAGGCTGTTTGTTATTGTCATATTATCCAAACACAAGACTGCAACCACTCACCCAGGAACCAATCAAGAAGTTGTTACAATGTTGTTCATCCCTGAACACTCACAATGGGTCTTTGTTGAAAAAAACACAAAAGATTTTCATAGGGCAAAACTGTGCCTAGGCACACTCCCACAGAGCTAAGGTATCTAGCAACCTCCTTCATGACTTGAATAAAAGAACAATGTACATAGAATCTATAATGAGTTCCAGTAACTCCATTTTTAAATTTGCAACATTTTCTTCAACAGTCCTTTGGCTTAAAGCAACATCATTTCCCATTTAAATGTCCACTGTTCAAAAACTAACAGTAATCTTTACATACTTCACTAATAGGAGAGATGAAAGACCATTTTAAAAATGCATTTTATCACAAGTATATGGCACATGGACATCAAAACTGGAGACCACACCCATTCATCCTCATTAATGCTGTATACAAATCTTAAATAATCATTATCATATTTCTCTTAAATTCTGAGCTTCGTCATCATGTTTTCCCATTCTGGACAATGTGTCTGCTATCACATTATCTTCACCAGCAAATGTGAACAAGTTCCAGTAATTTGACTTCTTTTAAACTGCAACATTTTCCATAGCCCCTTGGTTAAGAGCAATATCTTTTGCATTTTTAAGTACACAATACAAAAATCCTTGCATCAGACACCACAGTCTGCAGCTAGCTCCCCGCTAATTCAAGAGGGATGATTTTATCTTTCAGTGGGAATCTGATGGTAGTATTATTAGGCTGGAATCTGAATCATAGGTGTGGCAAGTTGTGAATGCCAGGTCTATAATTTTCCAGTTACACAGTTGCAGCTTTCTGGGAGAGGTGCAGCTAACCGGTAGAAATAAACTCAGTCACCTGATGGAAACTACCCACGGACATTCCAAGAGCTGTGGCAGGGGTGTCATGCAAATGGGGGACACCCTGTGGGTGGGAAGTCTCATCTACTGTCAAAACCAGCAGCATTAAAGTCATAGATTAGTGGGCATAGAGCTGGAAGTTGAGATTCTTTATGTTAACTGTTCCCTGCTGAACATTGCTGTGTTTGCATTTTAGTTGAAAGCAATAGTCACACTACCTAATATGTTCCTTGTAGGGTTACAGTAACATCAATGTGTTACATGGATTTCAGTCGTTTTCCTCTCGACACCCAGAGCTGCTCGCTGGAAATTGAGAGCTGTAAGTCAGGCATTGTGTCACATCAAAACTTTAGAATTTCATTAAGCTTGCTTGTGACTACCATCTAATCACCTCAGCAGAAAATGTCATAGCAAATTCATAATGTAAGCTAATCTCTTCTAAATAAGAAATAGTTCCATATGTTTTTTAACACTTTAATATTGAATTAACAGGAAGATTTGATTCAGGTAGGTGAAAGTCATAAATATTGATTTTTCATATGGAAATACCAATTGTCTACGATACAGTGGCTCAGTGGTTAGCACTGCTGCCTCACAGCGCCAGGGACCCGGGTTCGATTCCACCCTTGGGCGACTGTCTGTCTGGAGTTTATACATTCTCCCCGTGTCTACATGGATTTCCTCTGGGTGCTCTGGTTTCCTCTCACAGTCCAAAGGTGTGCAGGCTAGGTGGATTGGCCATGCTAAATTGCCCGTAGTGTTCAGGGATGTGTAGATTAGGTGGGTTATGAGAGATGGGTCTAGGTAGGATGCTCTGAGGGTTGGTGTGGGCTTGTTGGGACGAAGGACCTGTTTGCACGCTGTTGGGATTCTATGATCTATGAATTTTGGGAGAAGGTCCCCAAAAACCTGAAGGACAATTAGGGATAGCCAACAAATGCTGGCTTTGTCAGCATCAGTCACATGCCTTAAGAAATAATATAAAAAGAAATGACAATGGGTGAGGCTCCTGCCAGACTCAACTAATGATTCTGTGAGGTAAATGGAGTCCTGATGGACTTTGAACTGGGATGTTAAGTCACCTGCAGTGGCCATCCCTTTAACTGTTGTGAGGCCAGAAATGCCACTGAAAGTAGGTGAAGCAACTTTCCATGGTTGAGTGAAGAGGACCATGAATGGCCCAGTAAAGCCCCATAAGGAATATCTGGACATAGATAAGCTGCAGAGCTGGGCTGAGAGGTGGCAAATGGAGTTTAATGCGGAAAAGTGTGAGGTGATTCACTTTGGAAGGAGTAACAGGAATACAGAGTACTGGGCTAATGGTAAGATTCTTGGTAGTGTGGATGAGCAGAAAGATCTCGGTGTCCATGTGCATAGATCACTGAAAGTTGCCACCCAGGTTGATAGCGTTGTTAAGAAGGCGTACAGTATGTTAGGTTTTATTGGTAGAAGGATTGAGTTTCGGAGCCATGAGGTCATGTTGCAGCTGTACAAAACTCTGGTGTGGCCGCACTTGGAGTATTGCGTGCAGTTCTGGTCACCGCATTATAGGAAGGATGTGGAAGCATTGGAAAGGGTGCAGAGGAGATTTACCAGGATGTTGCCTGGTATGGAGGGAAGGTCTTATAAGGAAAGGCTGAGGGTCTTGAGGCTGTTTTCGTTAGAGAGAAGAAGGTTAAGAGGTGACTTGATAGAGACATACAAGATGATCAGAGGATTAGATAGGGTGGGCAGTGGGAGCCTTTTTCCTCGGATGGTGATGGCTAGCATGAGGGGACATAGCTTTAAATTGAGGGGTGATAGATATAGGACAGATGTCAGAGGTAGGTTCTTTACTCAGAGAGTAGTAAGGGCTTGGAATGCCCTGCCTGCAAAAATAGTAGACTCGCCAACTTTAAGGGCATTTAAATGGTCATTGGATAAACATATGGATGTTAATGGAATAGTTTAGGTTAGATGGGCTTCAGATTGGTTTCACAGGTCGGTGCAACATCGAGGGCCGAAGGGCCTGTACTGCGCTGTAATGTTCTATGTTCTATGTTCAATGGACCTCTGCTACCTCAGGTGGCCTCCTTTCCAGCACAGACTTTGTATTCAAATCTTAAACAATCCTTATCATATTTCTCTTAAATTCTTAACTTTGTCATCATTTTTCCCCATTCTGGACAATGTGTCTGCTACGCATTATCTTCACCAGCAAATGTGAATGAATTCCAGTAATTTGTCTTATTTTAAACCGCAACATTTTTCCTTTGCCTTTGGTTAAAAGCAGTATCTTTTGCATTTTTAAGTACACAACACAAAAATCCTCGCATCAGATGGCACAGTTCTGCAGCCTCCTGCAACTTTACTTCATCACTGGCTGCTTTCGTTTGGTGCCAGCAGATTCTGAATAAGTGGATTTAACTTTATGTTTTAAAATGTTCACTGTTGTTCAAATCTTATTTCCTGATATAAAAGCAAAATAGTGTGGATATTGGAAATCTGAAATGAAAACAGACACTGCTGGAAAAACTCAGCAAATCTGGCAGCATCTTTGGAAAGAGAAACAGTATTAACTTTACAAGACAAATGACTCTCTTCTTTGGGATTCAAAATGTTAACTCTGTTTCTCTCTCCACAGATGCTGCAAGACCTGGACTTTCTGTTTCTATTTTCTAATATATACTTGTCAATGCATTTACCGGGATAGTAATATGGAAACTTTAGGGGTTGATACTACAAATGGAACCTATTAACTTTTTCATGTTCAGAACTATAGTTGTCACAATCTTTTAGAGTTGTATAGTTAGCATGGCAGTACTGTGCCCATGATAGCTCTTTTACAGAAATCTAATTAGTCCCATTCTCCCCACTATATCTTATTAGACTTGTATACTTATTGTCCTGAAGTTCCCATCCAATTTTGAAAAACATTACAGTATCCACTTCCACAACCCTCCTAGGTAATGAGGTTGATTTCATTGGCAGTTGCTGTGTAAAAACATTCTTCTTCCCATTCCCCTGGAATCACTTACCCAAAACCATAGATCCATGTCTAATCCTTTAATCAAGTAAATGAAACTACTCTTTATTGTTTACCTTATCTAAACCTGTCAAAATCTGTACACCTCTTTCAAATTTCCCCTCAATCTCCTTTGTTCCAAACAGATCAAGCCCAGCTTCTTCAAGTAAACTTGTAGCTAAAATCCCTGGAACCATTCTGGTCAATCTCCTCTACGTGCTCTCAAGAATCCTAAATTCCTTCCTAAAGTGTAGAGGCCAGAACCCTAGTTGTGGCCTCAGTAAAACTAATGGTATTGTGGGTCTACCTACAGAACATGGACTGCAGTGGTTTAAGACAGCTCATGATCATTTCTCAAGGGTAACTACAGGTTAGGCAAAAAATATTGGCCCAGCCAGCAACACCCACATCCTCATACTGATTTTTTAAAAACAGGGTCAGCCTAACTTTTCTGATTTTGTCCTTGATTCCTCTATTTATGAAGTGCAAAATGTCATATATTTTACTAACTGCTTTCATTTCATAAAATATATCTCATTTAAAGATTTTGTTCATGCTGCATCTATTAAATTGTGAATTACTGTCTGTATTGCAAGGGTGGATTCTGATAAGGTTTTATTAGCTTTTTTAAAATAAATCCATTCATAGGACGTGAGGATCATTTGCAAGGCCAGTGTTTATTGACTATCCCTTATTATCCTTGGGAAAATTAGGTGAAGTCCTTGAACTGCTGCAGTCCACCTAATATGGGTACACCTCCTGTGCTAGGTGGGAGGGTGGTCCAGAATTTAGACCCAGCAACAGTGAATAAATGATGATTTTGTTCCAAGTCAGGATGTTATTTGGCTTAAATGGGAACTTCTAGGTGGTGGTGATCCCATGAATCTGCTGCCTTTGTCCTTCTATGTTGTAGAGCTTGTAAGTTGCTGCAGTGCATCTTGTAGATGGTAAACATTGCTTCCACTGTGTCCCCATGGTGGAGGAAGTGATTGTTTAAGGTGGTGCTTGAGAGCATCTCAAATAGGCTGTTTTGTCCTGGGGGTGAGAAGATTTTTAAGTGTTGTTGACGCTGCATTCCTATCGGCAAGTGGACAGTATTCTATCACATTTCAGACCACTGCCTTGTAGATAGCAAGCAGACGTCGTGAATTCAGGAAGTGAGTTGCTCACTGCGGATTTCCCAGCTCCGGACTTTCTATATTAGCCATGGTATTTATGTGGCTAGTCCAGATAATTTTCTGATCAATAGTGTTTTTAGTCTCTCATATATACATGTATATATCTCATCATATGTATGATGTATAATTATCGCAACACTGCATGAATTATTTAATTAAACCACATCTTCTCTATCCAAACTACTAAACCATATTGTCTTTGATTTATGTTCTCTTCAGATGCTTACACTGATGATGACCTAATGCTGTACTGGAAGAGTGGTAATGACTCATTAACGACAGATGAAAAAATTTCTCTATCTCAGTTCATGATACAAGAATTTCGCACGACAACAAAGCTGGCCTTTTACAGTAGTACAGGTCATACACTTTCCTTTGCGTTGTTTTTATTTTCAATTCATATTTTAGTTTGCTTATTGTGTTATTTAAATCAAATTGGTTACCATCTTGGATACTTACTGAATCTGCACTTTTGGTGTAATTTTGTCCATGGAATGGGTGACAGGCTCTGTTCTGTACCCTTTTGGAAGCCAATTGTCCTCCTTGAGATGGAGAATGCCAAAATTGTAATTACAAACAAACTTTTTGCAACGTGCACAGTATTCTATCATTTCAACATGCTGCTTTACTCAGGTTAAACTGAACATGTTATTTTTAAAATCTGCTCTTCATAGCATTGTTGCATTAGTGTAACATAATAATGATTATTTATCTCCTATGTCAACCCACAGGTTGGTACAATCGCCTGTACATCAATTTTACACTGCACCGCCACATTTTCTTCTTTTTGCTGCAGACCTATTTTCCAGCAACTCTGATGGTCATGTTGTCCTGGGTATCATTCTGGATTGATCGCCGAGCTGTCCCTGCTCGTGTTCCATTGGGTGAGATAAAGAAAACCAAAGCTACCCCAGTAAGATGCAATAAATATTTGCATTGTGCTAAAATTAGAACCAGGTTGAATAAGACCTTGCGCAGGAGTAAATGGAAATCTAAAGGGGAAATTGGGTCAAACCATTAGTGTCTGTTTTATACTGGGGCCGGGATGATCTTTCTGTTCAGTAAGTTCTGTGTGTTACTTGCAAACAATGTTTCTGGGTAATTTGTTCCTTTTGTACCTTCACAGCTCCAGGTGCCTTTATCTTTGGGTAAAAAGCTAGCTGGTTTGTAGTTTGTTTCCACTTTGAAATCTGCTTGTACCTCTCTTCAGTTAACTTGTAGCCTGTTCTAACTATCTTCCCTAATTCTTACACATGACCGCTGTTGTCATTGTTCCATCATGATATATACATCACTACCTCATTACTCTACTCCTTCAGCAACATACCATCTCAGCTTTTCAAATAACATCCTTAAACTATTTCCTTAAACTACTTACATTGCCACCGTCTCCCTACAAACTTCAAACTTCCAATGTCCAAACTTCAAATATTAAGCCTTTGAGATGTCTTTACAGCTGTCCCTGATGTTGTTCCTGTCACCATCAGTTGAGTGTGATGGTCATCAATCAGTTCACTGACTGAATTACTATTCTATAAAACAATTGATATAGTCTTCCCATCATTACAGCTTGTGGTATTCAAACTCATTGTTTCATGCAGCCTGTAATAATTGTAGAGCTTTTCTGTTTCCACTGAATGTTCCAAACAGAGTTTGAACAAAATAGGATTGTGGTTGTTCGGTTTGTTTAGGAACTGCGCCTTCAGACTTTCACCATCTGATCCAATGTCCAAAATAATTTTAGAAACGTAGAAAATAGGAGCAAAAGTAGGCTATTTGGGCCTTTGAGCATCCTCCATTGTTCAATCTGATCATGGCTGATCATCCAACTCAGTTCATTCTTTCAACTCTTTGATTCCTTTAACCTGCAGAATTGTTTTTAACTCCTCCTTGAAAACATTCAGAATTTTGACCTCATCTCAGTCCTAAATGTCCTCACCCTTCCTTGCCATGGTTGACAGGGAGAAGAAACACCAGGTGAAATCAAGTAAAAAAAATGACCCTAGGCACAGTCATAGTGTTGAGGGTGACTGGCAAAGTTATGTAGGTCTAACTCCTTATGAAATGGCTGTATGATGTGGCAAAGACTGCCTTTTCAGCACATTATAATTTTTTTGTAAAACCACAAGAGGTAACGGCCAAACTGACTTGCAGCCACTGGCAGGCCTATGCAATATTGTAGTTTGTTTCTAGGTATTCCAGGTGAAAATGACAGTCTTCCAACTAGCTTCTGGTTAAAACATCAGCTGTGGCTTTAATACTTGTTGATTTCTCTCGAGTTGCTTCATTCACCTGTTTGCACACAGATATTTGCATTTGGAGATTTGTGTCATCTGCATTTTGTATGCTAGAATGTCTGCACACATTCCACATTGAATTTTCATTTTTAGTCCCAGTGGGCATGGAACAACACTCCCAACACATACTCTTGGTATGGGCAAACTCTGCATGAAAAGCACTGAACATGAAAATTTATCCATTCATGTTATTAGCATCTCCAGAATGCATGGATACTATTAAAAAAGAATTACAAATTATGTCAACATATCTGAAATATTTCTGGATACAAATTTGTGTATCATCTTTACTTATTTGTAATTACACGTCTGGTTTTAAACGGTCTCCCACAATATTTTTACCAAGGTAACAGGAAATAGATTGTACCAGAATCATTAAAAAAATTTCACAAGGAAAGGAACACCTGTACAATAAGGCGTATGGAGATGGGTTCTTTTTCTACCAGTTTATACAGAAAGATTCCTTGCCAAATCTTCTCCATTATTTGGGAGATTTCACTGCAATAAATGTACACATCAAATATTTTAAAAATGGACTACAGGGAGCACAAGCCTAATTTTCTGATATTTACAGTGCACAGGATGAGAAAAGCAACCTCTATCATTGTAGAATTGTAATATTTATCCATCTTGTTTGAATATAGTTACATTGCTGTAGGGTGATGTTTGCTGAAGTATGTTCTTTTTTTCCTTGAGATTACTGCTATAGCAATTCTGCAGCGATTAATTGCTTCATTACAAACTTTCCTCCAATTATTACCAAAATTCTCTCTAATCACTTCATGATGATTACTTATGGTCATTGTCCTCTTACTGTTCCTTGTTTGCTCCTTCAAAGATTCTCTATCCCTCAAAACTAAGACACATCAGTTCATATTCTTATTTGGTTCCCTTCATTTCCCAGGATCTGAGGACTGTGCATCTGCCTCAGTTTTCAATTCCTTCTGTAATCGAAAAGATTTGCAGCCCAAGCTTCCTATCAATTCTACTTAAGTTAGTTTATATCCAACTTTTTGTTTTGTTTTATGTAATCAAAGTTATCTTGGTCCTTCTTTAGGTTTATCACTTTAAAACAAAGCTAGTAGATAACTGAATATATTTAGATTAGCGCAACAAACTATCATTCATTTTTTGCAAGCTTATGTCTAAATTCTTGATTCTAATTTGTATCATTTATATAAGACAAATTTTTACCCTATAATTCCAGGTATAACGACAGTTTTAACGATGTCCACTATTATCACGGGTGTGAATGCTTCCATGCCAAGGGTCTCGTATATTAAAGCTGTGGACATTTACCTGTGGGTTAGTTTCGTGTTTGTCTTTCTCTCGGTGCTGGAGTATGCAGCTGTCAATTACCTAACTACAGTACAAGAGAGGAAAGAAAGAAAACTGCGGGAAAAGGTTAGAAAATTAAGATTATGTACTTTTCATACTACTTTTGCTTTCTAATGTGGAATCAACATATTGCTTACCTTCTGTCCATCCCTAGTATCTTAATCCTTTGCACGAATAATTCTTTAAGGGCATCCTTTAACCAAAGATAAAAGAAAAAGTGTTACATTTTTATTGAGGGTCTTATGAAAGACCCTGAAATGTTGACTCTGTTTCTCTCCAAAGATGCTGCCTGACAATTGGGGAGTATTCCATCACACTCCTGACTTACAGTCATAGAGATGTACAGCATGGAAACAGACCCTTCAGTCCAACTCCAACATGCCAACCAGATATCTTAGATAAATCTAGTCCTGTTTGCCAGCATTTGGCCTATATCCCTCTAAACCCTTCCTATTCATGTACCCATCCAGATGCCTTTTAAATGTTGTAGTTGTACCAGCCTGCACCACTTCTTCTGGCAGCTCATTCCATACACGCACCACCCCTTGCATGAAAAAGTTGCCCCTCAGGTCCCTTTTAAATCTCTCCCCTCTCACCATAAAGCTATGACCTCTAGTTTTGGACTCCCCCACCCCAGGGAAAAGACCTTGTCTGTTTACCCTATCCATGCCCCTCAAGATTTTATAAGCTTCTCCAACGCTCCAGGGATAATAGCTCCAGCTTATTCAGCCTCTCTCTATAGCTCAAGCCCTCCTACCTTGGCAACATCCTTGTAAATCTTTTCTGAACCCTTTCAAGTTTCACAACATCCTTCCTATAGCAGAGAGACCCCTCATAGTACTGAACAGTGGCCTAACCAATGTCCTGTACGCTGCAACATGACCTCCCAACTCCTATACTCAATGCCCTGACCAATAAAAGCAAACATACCAAACTCCTTCTTCACTATCCTGCGACTCCACTTTCAAGGAACTATGAACCTGCACTCCAAGGTGTCTTTGTTCAGCAACACTCCCCAGGGCCTTACAATTAAGTGTATAAGTCCTGCCCCGATTTGCCTTTCCTAAATGCAGCACCTCACATTTATCTAAATTAAACTCCATCTGCAACTCCTCAGCTCATTGGCCCATCTGATCAAGATTCCATTACACTCTGAGGTAACCTTCTTCGCTGTCCGCTACACCTCCAATTTTGGTGTCATCTGCAAACTTACTAACCATACCTCCTATGTTCACATCCAAATCATTTATGTAAACGACGAAAAATACTGATGCTTATGGCACTGCTGGTCACAGGTTCCAGTTTGAAAAGCAACCCTCCACCACAAATCTCTGTCTTCTACCTTCAAGCCAGTTCTGTATCCAAATGGCTAGTTCTCCCTCTATTCTGTGTGATCTAACTTTGCTAATCAGATTACCATGCCGAACCTTGTTGAGCGCCTTACTGAAGTCCATATAGATCACGTCCACCGCTCTGCCCTCATCAATCCTCTTTGTTACTTCTTCAAAATACTCAATCAAGTTCAGGAGACACTATTTCCCATGCACAAAGCCATGCTGACTATCCTAATCAGTCCTTGCCTTTCCAAATACATGTAAATCCTGTCCCTCAGGATTCCCTCCAACTTGTCCACCACCAATGTCAGGCTCACTGGTCTAGAATTGTGTCTTGTAGACTGGTGAACAGGCTTTGGGGAGGCAGGAGGTGCGTAACTCGTTACAGAATTCCCAGCTGCTGAACTGCACTTGGTTCAGATATCCAGCATTTGCATTATTTTGCTTTTGTGCTTTTTAAGAACATCACCTCCTGTCTTGGAAAGGCCTTAAAATACTTCACACAAATTATTGTCATTTTTGTTACAGAGACATTCATGGCATTTGTTTGTACACTGTGTAAATTGTATTGAGATAAATAAGCAATTAATGGTAGAGTTGGCTGAACGAGGAATATTGGCCAGTAGATCAGAAGAACTCACTAGTGCTATAGGATATTAGGTCTTGGGTTTCATAATGCAGTTAAGAACAAAACAACATTCCCTCAGTACCCATACAAAAGCATCCACTTAGATTACGTGACCCTCTGGAATGGTGGGGGGGAGCGGTAGGATTTGAGTCAACAGTCATTTCACCCTAAGCCACAAGTGCTATAAATTGAGCTAAGTGGAAAGTAGTCCGACAACCTATCCTTGATGGGATGTTTTGAATTAAAAGTTAAACAAAACATCAAAATCATTTTCTAAATTTTTATTTTTAATTCACAATCCTTACTTCAAAATTCATTTTCTACAACTATTTTTATTACTAAAAATATGCAGTTTTTTTAAATTACCAAATTTAAATTGCATAATGAATCGATTCAGAAGTGAATATTGTGTATTTATACCAGAAATTCAAACACAGCTAACACAAATTTTGTGCCAATGTCTTCTTTGCTGCATCTTATCTTTGCCACGTACATACATCACATCAAATGTCTCAAACGTCATTCATCAATCTAATTTTTTTTATTATAGAGAAGCCATTTGCTTCTGTTCCCTAAGTTGGCTACAGTTTCCATTGAGTTCAGGGACCTAGATATAGACTGTTCTTTTGTGGTCTGTATCATGTGCTCTTTATTTTATGGTCTTTTTCTAAATTTTTGACAATACTTTATCTGATGGATGAGTAGTGCTTTCTATAGAATCATATACACAGGAAGCTATTTGATCCATCATGGTATGCCAGCCCTTTGAAAAAGCTACTATTTAGTCCTGCTTCCTTGTTCGTTTTCCAATGTCCTGCAAAAGTATCTCTTCAAGAATTGTTCTTTTATTTTGATCGTTAATATAAGCTTATCGTCTTTCAGCTACCTTGCACATGTGCAATGCCTCAGCCAAGACCATTAATGGTAGAACGCACGTACAGTGATGGAGAAGTCAGCAACCTGGCTGAATTTGCTGGACCTGATTATATGCCACAAAATGGAGAAAAACAAGACCGAGGGCTAGTCAATCCGCCAATTGCTGATGAGCCAACTGAAAACAAGGAAAAAATTTTAAGAGGATACATTTGGATTGACACCCACATTATCGATAAATACTCCAGACTGATATTTCCAGTTGCTTATGCACTTTTTAATGTGATATATTGGTCTATTTACACATAGAAATTTCTGCATATAAAAGGTTTTAAAGTCTTTACCCTCAGAAATAACTCAGTGGGAAGGGAAAATGTGTGTGCTTTCTAACTTCAAACTGGGATCAAGCCAAAAGCACAACCAATCCATATTCCAGTCTTAAATACGGCAAGCAGAACAGGTTGATGTGTGAGGTACATCTAAGCAGCTTTAAAGTTTCGTATTCAAAGCCAGCTGCTCGATTATGCAACACATTGATTGTAGATGATTTGGTCTAAATCATTTTAGATGTATTTCAGATGAGTTGTTTTGCCCTGATATTTTCATAGACACTTTACTTCTTCCAATACGAGAACATTTTGACAGTTTCTAAGTGTTTTCTAATATAGGTGAGAAAATGTCCATTTGTTCTGAATTCCTATTTTTATTAAAAGCATTATTTTTAAATGAATGAATGATTTGGAGGACTCAGTGAAATACATATTGCACTCCACGATATAGTTACTGTTGACTAACCATAGATTTTGGTCCACCATCTGGTAGTAGGCATCAACACAGCTTTTGACGTAAACACTGTCAGCTTCTATAATAAAGATTATCTATCTAATTATTTGGAGTAACAACACAACAATCTAAAATACACATCTTTCAATTTAACATTGGCAAAGAACTTCAGATTAATACTTGTTATTTAAGTATCGAAATAAACTACAGTACTAAATAAATTCCTGTATGCCTTAGTGAAGTCTCAGGTGACAATTATGCATTCTGATTCTTCCTAATCTAATAAAGTTTCAACTACTGATTTTATGAGACTTTGTGACAGCAAAGAGGAGACCATAAAATTACGAACCCAAAGTGCAGCAGACAATATTTTACAGCAAAGAAACATGAGCACAGAATGAATTACCAAAGAGTTTAAACCTTACTCTAAATTGTAAATGATGTAAATGGGTTCTTTGCTGGCCAGTGTCAAGACCCGACTGAGTTGACGCATATAATGTGGAGGCTGATCAATCCTTTGACCCGGGTGGCTGGAGTTGGATTCTTAAAGATAGATTATTGCATCAAACTATGGTAATTAAGAACTAATTAAGAATACAGAAAGAAATCACAACCAAATAGTAGTGCTATGTGTCTAATCATGGGTTGATAATTCCTTTGTGGGTACTATGTACTGAGATGAGGAAGAAGCAGCCACAAGGAGCATTGAATGCAGATTCAATGACAATGAGGAATTATATAAACAGAATACTAACCAAGGATAAAAACTAAAAGAACTGCAGATGTTGTAAATCAAACAAAAACAGAAAATGCTGAAAAACTTCAGTAGGTCTGGCAGCGTCTGTGGAGAGAAATCAGAGTTAAGCTTTTGGGTCGAGTGACCCTTCCTCAGACCGAAATGTTAACTCTGATTTCTCTCCACAGATGGTGCCAGACCTGCTGAGCTTTTCCAGCAATTTCTACTACCCAAACAACAAAACAGCACAGGAACAGGCCCTTCAATCCTCCAAATCTGTGCTGACACATTGTGCCCTTCCATACTAAAGCGGTCTTCACTTCCAGGATCCATATTCCTCTATTCCCTTCCTGTTCATGTATTCATCCAGGTGCTTCTTGAATACTGCTATTGTGTCTGCTTCCACCACCTCTTCTGGTAACGCGTTCCAGGCCCTCACCATGCTTTGTGTGAAAAACTTACCTCACACATCTCTTTCAAATTACCCCCCTCCCACCTTCAACCTGTGTCCCCTAGTAATTGACCCCTCCACCCCGGGAAAAAGCATCATACTTTCCACTCTATCCATGCCATTCACAATCTTATAAACTTCTATTAGTTTGCCCCTCAACCTCCTGCATTGCAATGAAAACAAACCCAGTCTAACCAACCTTTCTTCATAGCTAAAATCCCCCATACCAAGGGTGGTCATTTAGTCACAAAAACCAAAACATGCAATATCAGAGGATACCTTTGCTCAGTGTAACTACAACTAAACAGTACCATTTCTTGGAGGCCTGAAGACAATTGGTACCAATTGGGCAGCTTTTCCAATGGCTGTCTATTAAATGTGAAGGCCACTGGATCTTTTCAAATCACCAATATTGATAAAACCCACCACTTGACCAGATACAAATGGATTAGGAAAATGATAAAAACATTGTTTACAAAGAGCAAAATATTCAACTTATATGTGAACACAACTCAGGATCAATCTTCAGTGTCAGTATTTCCAAGAGTACAGGGCAGATTAGATGGTACTCTGGTCATTTAATTCCCTTTTTTCAGTTGTATATGGGATGCGGGCATAATTGGCAAGGTTGGCATTTGTTACTCATCCCTAAATTCTGATGAACTGAATTAAGCGTCAACCACATTGTTGTTTGAAGTCTGTCGGCCACACCACGTGAGAACTGCACATTCCCCACCCCAAAAGGCATTTTTACAATAATCAACAATTACTAAACAGTTGCTAATAGATCAGCTTTTAATTCCAGATTTTAATGAATTGGAATTTCACTAGTATTTGGTAGTATTTGAACCTATAACTCCAGAATATTAGCAGGGGAGTTCTGGATTACTAGGCCAATGACATTATCATTACATCACTGCTTCCCCGAGTAGGAGAATACTTCACCTTTGAGTAGGGTTCTTGGAAATACCAAAGTGTACTTTCCTAATGCATTAGCAATACCCCTTTGCCCAATTGTCATGAGGGATCAAGTCACATCCACAGCGACATCCTTACAGAATCTATTTTCTGCCTTTACATTGAGCCAGATTTTGTGCAGGGTGGTCATGAGGGTGGAGAAGGTGGAAAGGTGTTTACGGTGAAAGGTCACTGTCATTAACCCTCTGAAACATACCATAAGGGTATGTTCAAGGTGCAGAGCATGTGCAAATTAGCAGAGAAATCCTGCAATGCTGATCTGTTACTCAGTGCTTCAATACAGAACACACTGGGCTGACATCTACTACAGCCAACAATCCAGGATCACTCAATGTTCCAACATCACTGTTACAAACAGACCTCCAGATCAGCTCATTCCCGGATCCTTGCTGGAACCAAGACCAAAAGTGCAAAGGCTCTAGTATAAACGGTAAGTGGGCAGCTTAAATGGCAGGCTGTCTATTGCCATAGCTCACTGGATGATCTGGGCCTATACATGATTGCATTTAATAATTACTTTCAAGTTAATTGTTGAAAAAAACTAATCCCACAAAACTGGCAAATTCATCTCAGAGTACTGAGAGCCAGCCAGGAAAGCAATCCCAACAGAAATTATACTGGTCTCTCAGAATTAACATCATAATTGAAAAAACTAAATTTTCTACTGGAGTTATTCTGATTCATCACCAAGTATTGTTCACATCCCCCAATTCCATAATTTTCTGTCAAAAATAATGTTGGATGTTTAATGCCATCCAAGTACAGTCGGACAATTCATAATTACAGGCATACATCATGTAGGTTTTAACCCATCATTTATGTCTTAGAAACTCCACGTACATGGGATGGCTGCTTTATTTAAGTACCAAGTGTTACTGAGTGTAGCTCACAAGACAGTTATTGTTCAGGACCTGAGAGAAGCTGCACAACATAGTCCTGATCTCAATACCCTTCTGGGATTCTTGTCCCTATGTTAGTCCCATTCATGTTAAAACCTTCATTAATGTTGCGTTACTGGACTGATCTTTCCCAATTACCATTTGCTGAGTTTTGAGGTTTCAGGCTACACAAACTGAATCATTCAGAATTCCTCTGCCCATATCTCATCCTGCATTTTGCTAGCCTTCTACTCCTTTATTTATTTGGATGATTACACATTTACATGCCAAGTGTAATGCTGCCCTCTACTGGTTTGTAACGATTTGATGATAAATGTTCTGGAGTTTCAAACAACTGATCTTGTACTTTACATAATAACAATCCAACTGTCTGATTTCCTTTTTCAAACTGTATGTCAAAGCTATCATAAATTAACTAGTACTGAACATTCATCTTTAAACCTATAATGTATACATCTCACATAATAAAGTAAAAATAGCACAGAGAACACTCTGACGGTGGAAGATAATTGAGTAAAAAGTGTTAATGTGAACTTTAGAAACAATGTGGGGAACGTCAGAATTGTTTCTTTTGTTGTTCTTAGGTTGTGGGCAATGCAGAAAATGCCACATCTGGTACCCATTCTTAGTTACTCTGAAAAGAAACTCATGCAGATCATATAATGAAGGAACTAACACATGTCTATTCCAGGATCCCTACATGTAGTGTGATGAAACTGTATTAATATCATTGCTGGAATGAGGATTTTTAAAAAGAAGCAGATAGATTATGGCTTTTGATCTGTGGAGTTCTTTTTAAAACGTAGCTTTGAACAGTGAATTAAAGTCATAATTTCCCAAGAAACCTTATGATTCAGTCAAGCACATAGGAGGGATACCTATTTTGTTAATTGATGGAATATCTATACTGCTGAGTTTAGGACAGACAGAGAAAAAAGATGAAGGGCCATTAGTTTAATTTTAACTTCGGAAGAATCAGGAATTCAATTTAGGATAGTAATGTCTTTTTCAACAGGAAAATCAGGTTTTCAGTTTAGAAGAGTTTTCACCCTGACAAAAGGATTTTAAGCTGTGAAGTCTCCAAGCTATGAGTTTGTATGCAAGTTTAAATTGTCAGAACCGAAGAGAGGAGTTTAGATCATCAGAATTAGAATGAACCTGAAATGAAAGACCAGTGAAAGTAGTCATAAAGCTGTCCCAGCAACCCAAAAAGGGGAACTGGAAAGAGTCAATTAAGTATGAAATATGAAATAGCTGAGATAGGAGTGATATTTCTCTGCATCTGAATATCTGTGGAGGATATTCCTGGGAAACAGATCAATACTTTGTGTTGCTGTTTATGCTTGGCTTTTTCTAAACTATCTTAATATATATATCACTTTTTGTAATGTAATAAGTCTGTTGCTTTTGTTAAAGAACATGAGCAATCTTGTGAATGTGTTTTTGTGACTAATCACTATGGCAACCAAACAAAAATGCACCTAAGTTTGATAGATCTCAAGGAAAATTATACTAGACTCAAAATGTTAACACTGTTTTTCTCTCCACAAATGCTGCCAGACCTGCTGAGTTTCTCCAGCATTTTCTGTGCTGGTTTCAAGATTTCCAGAATCTTCAGCATTTTGCTTTCATTATTATGATCTATCAAGCCAGGTTTGGCTCTGGGGTCTGACTCATCAGTGGGAACTTCTCAGAAAGAGTACATTTAGGCATTAGAAGAAGCACATTTTCACAATGGGCGGGTCCTGGACAAAGAAACACTGACCACATATTCAACACACATTTTAGAGACGGAAAAAAGCATTCAGGCTGTTACCTCAGATAGTTCATTTGCAAAAATTGCAATATCTAGGTGCTGTCCAGTAGTAGTAGCATCAATTATTAATGAAAGGCCAACGGTATTGGTGGGATATTTTATTGTTCTAGTTACTATGCATTGTTTGGCATAGGCACTTAAGTTCTTGTGATTTTTCAGTGAAAGCTTAATTTAAGAGTGTCTAAATAGTCAAACGAGATTCTGTACATGTTCGCTCTTTTATTCCACGTTAATGGATCTGGAGGATCTTCTTTTCTGCCATTTCAAATGTACTATGCCTGCAGATGGCAAAATTGGGGAGGCACAGTGGCTAGCACTGCTGCCTCAGAGTGCCAGGGACCTGGGTTCAATTCCACCCTCGGGTGACTGTCTGTGTTGAGTTTGCACATTCTCCCCGTGTCTGTGTGGGTTTCCTCCGGGTGCTCCGGTTTCTTCCCTCAGTCCAAAGCTGTGCAGGCTAGGTGGATTGGCCATGCTAAATTGTCCCTAGTGTTCAGGGATGTGTAGATTAGTTGGGTTTAAGGGGATGGATCTAGGTGGGATGCTCTGAGGGTTGGTGTGGACTTGTTGGGCCAAATAGCCTGTTTCCACACTGTAGAAATTCTGTGATCTATGATCTTGTTCAAGAGACCCAAGACACAAATGATCTTGGAGATTTTCACAGGACTATCCTGCAGTACCAACTGAACCTGCCACAGCAAATGCTTTATTGTGAATATAGTGTTTAACACTGTTCCAGTATCAACCATCAGCACCACATTTCTCACTTCAGTGTCAATTATGACAATTAATGCCCATGAATATTAAGCCATAGCTATATAAATTTGCAAGTAATGCGCCAAAGCATGGTGGACAAAATGAATACTAGCCTTAAAGCTTATTACACAAATTTGTTTTCAATAACTTTTTTTATTCGTTGATGGAATGAGGGCATCACTGGCTAGGCCAACATTTATTGTTCATCCCTAATTGAGTTAAGAATCAACCACATTGCTGTGGGTCTGGAGTCACATGTAGGCCAGACCAGATAAGAATGGCAATTTCCTTCCCTAAAAGGACACTAGTGAACCAGTTGGGTTTTTCCTACAATCAACAATGGATTCATGTTCATCATTACACTCTTTATTCGAAAGTATTTTTTATTAAATTCAAACATCTGCAAAGGTGGGATTCAAACCAGAGTGCCCAGAACATTTCTTGGGTGTCTGGATTAATAGTCCAGCAATAATACCACTAGACCACTGCCTCCCCTATGTAAGCAAACATAATTCTCCCTGTTCATGCTAAATTAGAGGTGTAAAATACAAATATTTTGCACAAAGAAACATTTCTAAAATTCATACAGAAGTATTGCTTGGATGAGACTCATTGGCTACTTATTACTATAAATTAAGATTTTAAATTATTTTTCACATTGTGACTAGAAAACTACAAAATTATTCTGTACAGAACCAATTTTACAATACCTTTTTCAAGTTAGAATAAAATCATAATTAAAAAATTATGTAATCATTTAGCAGTTATTTTGATCTCCATTAAACAACAATTGTATTGTTTAAAGCCTATCTATTATTTCATGTAACTTAAGCTTTTCAAAATCTTCCTTCATCTGTTGCAGCAGATCTGGGTTTAGCACAACATCCAATGCAGTCATTGCCAAGGCCGTTGCTGTGCGCAATGTATAGAACTGTGCTTCCTTAGATCCTGCAACAGATCATCAGACAGTGAATGCAAATAGTATTCTTCAAATTTAAATTTAAACTTTTTTTTCTGAACCATTATACAAATAAGCAAAAACAAAAATTCACTTGACTATTCCAACAGATTCTCTTTTAACTCCTCTCATTTCTTCAGGTCAGAGGGGTGGCCATGGGTACCTGCATAGGCCTCAGCTTTGCCTGTCTCTTCGTGGGGTACATGGAACTTTCCTTGTTCAAGTCCTATTCCGGCCCCCACCCACAACTTTTTCTCTGATATATTGATGATATAATCGGTGCTGCCTCCCTTTCTCATCTGAAATTGGAAAAGTTCGTCGATTTCACTTCCAATTCCCACCCTGCCCTCACTGTCTGACCCATTTTCCGCACTTCCGCCCTCACCCCTTCTCTTCCTTTCCACAACAGTGATAGGGTTCCCCTTGTCCTTACCTACCATCCCACCAGCATCCATTTCCAGAAGATCATCAGACACCATTTCTGCCACCTCCAGTGAGATGCCACCACCAGACACATAATCCCCCCCCACTTCTCTGCCTTCCGCAGGGACTATTCCCTCCAGGACACCCTGGCCCACTCTTCCTTCACTCCCAACACCCCTCCACAGCCCCATGGCACCTTCCCCTGCAACCAGTGAAGTTGTATCACCTGCCCCCAAACATACCTTCCAGGTGAAGCAACAGTTCACCTGCATTTCCCAGAATCTAATCTACTGCATTTGCTGCTCACAATGTGGTCTCCTCTACATTGGGGAAATGAAGCATGGACTGGGTGACCACTTTGCAGAACATCTACGTTCTGCCCGCAAAAAAAAAAACCCTGAGCTTCCAGTTGCCTGCCACTTTAACACACCACCCTGTTCTGTGGTCAACGTCTCTGTCTCTGGCTTGCTGCAATGTTCCAGTGAAGGTCAATGCAAGCCGGAGGAATAACACCTCATTTTCCGCTTGGGGATCCTGCAGCCCTCCACACTCAACATCTAGTTCAATAATTTTAGAGCCTAAACTCTGTCACGTTCTAGCCACCTACCCCACAAACCAGGCCTTGTTATCACATAGTCTGCCATTACACACTACCCATTGTTAGTCACTAACAGTCTCCATTAACAACTATTCACCCTCCCAGCCTAATCGTTAGCAACTCCTTTGTCTATCCAACTGCTCTTCTCCCACTTTGGGCTCTATCCCCACCTATCGTTTACTCCCTACCCCCCGTCCCTCCCCCTCCCCATCTTCTGCATATAAACTGACGATTTCCTAGCTACCATCAGTTCTGAGGAAGGGTCACCGGACTGAAACCTTAACTCCGATTTTTTTCTTCACAGATGCTGCCAGACCTGCTGAGCTTTTCCAGCAACTTCTGGTTTCATTCCAGTCTCCAGGGATGAGTGTGGCTGAAGACAAAAAGGTCTGCGAGGATACAGATCCTTGGACCTGGGTAGGCCGTAGCATCTGACTGACCTCAGCCAAAACCCTATAGACTGGAATAAGATGAGCGCCATGACTGACAATAATCCCCTTTGATCGCACTAAAGATTACGTCAGACATGGCCATTCAGTTGAAACTCATGCAATGTGTTTGCCATGCAAGGTGCTGGCACACGCTCTATGCGTGACAATGATAAGCATGCATGATACTGCCGTACAGCGACATGCTGTTTGTTTAGCACTCTTCACAATGACAAGCTGCCTGCTTCTACCTGCATGCTAAAAAGCACTGCAAGCACAGAAGCTGGCAACTTCCAGCTAAGCACAAAGTGAGTAAATGATAAGAAATCAAGCTACATAAGATGTCTGTGTATCCCTATGCACAAAGCAACCTGCAGAAGTATTCAAGTCGTAAATGTCCCTGAGCTGCACAGTAAAGTCTTGAAGGGCTGAAGCTGTCTGGGAGTTGGACCAAGAGCAGGCATGATAATTTGATGAGGCTAGTGGTTTGCCCATGCCAATGTTCCTGGGTAAAGGGTGGAGAAGGATTATGTCCATGCAGTATGCATGGACATTATGGTGACAACAGAGTTGGATGAAAGCTGGCACAATGAATCAGTGAGCTGAAGTCACCAGGTACCTACTGAATATCAGAAGGTGCATATAAAAGATGACTGATCCAATCCACTGCAACTCTCTCGTAATCTCTTCGGCCTTGAAACTGCTTGACCACATCCTGAAGCAAACCAGGTACTATAGCCACATCACCTTTCTTAGTACCTGCCTACGGAACCAGATCATCCCCAGTGGACTACAGTCCATATTCAGGCCTTCCCAATTTGGCCCCAACCATGACAATGTCTACATTCATAGCATTGAGATCCTTCAGAAACGTTTCTCCCTGCGACTCCTGAAACACACACTCGCAGCAATGCGCCGGCATCTCCTGGCATAACAATCAAACCTACCCCAGCTCAGAGCCTCCCTCTCCCAGACCTGCAAAGGACCTCTCCTGTTTTTTATTTTTCATAGGATCCACAACCTGAACTCACAATTCTACTCAGCTTTATTGGACACTAAAAACCGTAAGTACAGTAAACTTACTGGTGCCTACCACCCAAAATGGGCTTCCTCCACCTCTCAAATCCCCAGCCGTACCCAGGACCTTCCCCACAATGTGCCCGCCGCCATTGGCCATGAGGCCACTGTCGGAGAACCCACAGATGACGTCACATCCGCCACCGCCGGGTACCCCACTTCTGGGACAGCGAACGCCATCGCTGCTGATGCCACCGCCTCCATTTCCGAGGCCAACACCACAGACACTGAAGACGCACCTACCATCACCGCTGCTGCCGCCGCCTACCCTGCTCCGCCCATGCCGACACAGCTCCGCCCACCACTGCCGAAACCCCGCCGACGCAACTCCGTCCACAGCCGACGCCGACGTCGCTCCGTCCACCGCCTCCTGCCTCCACAGCCAGCAGCTCCAGAGGAGGCAGCAGCACCCAGCCCTGCCGAGTCTTCACCATCTCCCCAAACCTCCCCCTTACTGATGACAAACAGTCAGTCCTCAGTAAAGGGCTCACTTTTGTTCCCCTCCACCCACACATCAATGAATACTGCTCACGTTTGGATATTGAGCAGTTTTTCCGCCGCCTCCGCCTCCACACTTACTTCTTTAACTGTGAACCTAACCCTCCCTCTACTGACCCCTTCTCCCGCCTCCAACACACCCTTTCCTCCTGGACACCACCCCAAGGCCTCCTACCCTCCCTCAACCTCTTCATCTCCAACTGCTGCCAAGACATCAATCGCCTCAACCTCTCCACCACTCTCACCCACTCCAACCTCTCCCCCGCAGAACGTGCAGCCCTCCACTCCAATCCCAACCCCAACCCCAGCATAAAACCCGCGGACAAGGGAGGCGCAGTTGTAGTATGGTGCACTGACCTCTACATCGCCGAGGCCGGACGCCAACTCTCCGACACCTCCTCCTACCGCCCCCTTGATCATGACCCCACCCCCGAGCACTAAACCATCATCTACCAAACCATCCGCAACCTCATCACCTCAGGTGACCTCCCACCCATGGCCTCCAACCTCATCGTTCCCCAACCCCGCACCGCCCGCTTCTATCTCCTTCCCAAAATCCACAAACCTGACTGCCCTGATCGACCCATTGTCTCCACCTGCTCCTGCCCCACCGAACTTATCTCCACCTATCTCGACTCCATTTTCTCCCCCTTGGTCCAGGAACTCCCTACCTACGTCCGTGACATCACCCATGCCCTCCACCTCCTCCAAAACTTCCAATTCCCCAGTCCCCAGCACCTCATCTTTACCATGGACGTCCAGTCCCTATACACCTGCAATCCCCATACAGATGGCCTAAGGGCCCTCCGCTTCTTCCTGTCCCGCAGGCCCGACCAGTCCCCCTCCACTGACACCCTCATCCGCTTAGCCGAACTCGACCTCACCCTCAACAACTTCTCTTTCAATTCCTCCCACTTCCTACAGACAAAGGGGGTGGTCATGGGTACCCGCATGGGCCCAAGCTATGCCTGCCTCTTTGTAGGTTACGTGGAACAATCCCTCTTCCGTACCTACACTGGCCCTAAACCCCACCTCTTCCTCCGTTACATTGATGACTGTATCGGCGCCACCTCATGCTCCCACGAGGAGCTCGAACAGTTCATCCACTTCACCAACACCTTCCACCCCAACCTTAAGTTCACCTGGACCATCTCTAACACCTCTCTCACCTTCCTGGACCTCTCCGTCTCCATCTCGGGCAACCACCTAGAAACCGATATCCATTTCAAGCCCACTGACTCCCATAGCTACCTAGAGTACACCTCCTCCCACCCACCTTCCTGCAAAAAAATGCCATCCCCTATTCCCAATTCCTTCGCCTCCGCTGCATCTGCTCCCAGGATGAGCATTCCACTCCCGTACATCTCAGATGTCCTCGTTTTTCAAGGACCGCAACCTCCCCCCCTCAGTGGTCGAGAACGCCCTCAACCGTATCTCCAGCATTTCCCGCAATTCATCCCTCACACCCCGTCCCTGCAATAACAACCAAAAAAAATCCCCCTCGTACTCACGTACCACCCCACCAACCTCCGGATCCAACGCATCATCCTCCGACACTTCCACCATCTGCAATCCGCAATCCGACCCCACCACCAAAGACATTTATCCCTCCCCACTCTTATCTGCTTTCCGGGGGGACCACTCTCTCCGTGACTCCCTTGTCCGCTCCACACTCCCCTCCAGCCCCACCACACCCGGCACTTTTCCCTGCAACTGCAGGAAGTGCTACACCTGCCCCCACACCTCCTCCCTCACCCCCATCCCAGGACCCAAGAAGACTTTCTACATCAAGCAGATGTTCACCTGCACATCTGCTAATGTGTTATACTGCATCTGCTGTACCCGTTGTGGCCTCCTCTACATTGGGGAAACCAAGCAAAGGCTTGGGGACCGCTTTGCAGAACACCTACGCTCGGTTCGCAATAAACAACTGCACCTCCCAGTCGCGAACCATTTCAACTCCCCCTCCCATTCCCCAGACGACATGTCCATCCTGGGCCTCCTGCAGTGCCACAACGATGCCACCCGAAGGTTGCAGGAACAGCAACTCATATTCCGCTTGGGAACCCTGCAGCCTAATGGTATCAATGTGGATTTCACAAACTTCAAAATCTCCCCTCCCCCTACCGCATCCCAAAACCAGCCCAGCTCATCCCCGCCTCGCTAACCTGTTCTTCCTCCCACCTCAAGCCTCACCCCCATCTCCTACCTACTAACCTCATCCCGCCCCCTTGACCTGTCCGTCCTCCCTGGACTGACCTATCCCCTCCCTACCTCCCCACCTACACTCACCTTTACTGGCTCCATCCCTGCCTCATTGACCTGTCCGTTTCCTCTCCACCTATCTTCTCCTCTATCCATCTTCTATCTGCCTCCCCCTCTCTCCCTATTTATTTCAGAACCCCCTTCCCCTCCCCCATTTCTGATGAAGGGTCTAGGCCCGAAACGTCAGCCTTCCTGCTCCTATGATGCTGCTTAGCCTGCTGTGTTCATCCAGCTCTACACCTTGTTATCTCAGATTTTCCAGCATCTGCAGTTCCTACCATCTCTGATCCAATAACACCTGTTTTCTCTCTAGAATACAGATACTTCAGAAAGTTGTCAAAAGTTCCAGTGGATTTTTAAAATTGTATATTCTGTGGACATGGACAATTCTAACAAAGCTTTTTTTCAAATTGGCCATTCCTAAATGTCCTGAGAAAATTGTGGTGGCCCTTCATCTTGAACTATTGCAGTCTTTTTCAGGATGTTAGCTCCACAACAGAACTGGGTAAGTAGGAATCGGGTACGTGAGATGAGGGGTAAAGGTAAACATGAGGGATAATTGCTGAGTTGCATATTCTAAGGCTCCTTGCTTGGAATGTTGTTTTTTCATATCCATCAAGTGACATGTACATAGCAACCTCTATGTTAATGACTGATGACAAAGTGGGGAGACATACAACATTGTTAAATATTTTCATAAGGAGTTAGGTAAATTGAGCAAATAGAAAAATGTAAACTTGTTGATATGGTTATAAAATACTACACCAAAACAAAAGCGAAGTATTGCAGATTCTGAAAATCTGTCATAAAAAGAAGTGCTGTAAATACTCAGTCAGTCTGGCAATAAGTGTGGAGAAAGGGAATTAGTGCTTCCAGTCAAGGACCTTTCTTCAAATCTGAACAAACATGGAGATGCAATAGGTTTTGAGCACGTGAAAGTGGTGGGGGGGAGTGGGGGGGGAGAAAAGAACAGAAGGGAAGCGCTGTGATACAGTAGAGGTAATAAGCTAAATGACTAAAGATTTCATAGTACAAAAGGCAAAAAGAGTGGTATTTCCTGTAGTAAAAGACCCTACAATATTTGTGCAGGGTGAGTCTGAATGGCAGAATAATGCAAACATTTTTCTGAAAGTAAAAGCATAAAAACAGGATTTAGATTAACACAGGTAAAAGTAACAGAAACCAAAATTGGAGAGGGAGGGCAGGAATTATCTGATAGTAGTCTAACACAGGCTATGCACAATGTGAAGAAGCCACTGCTTTCAGTCCCTCACCAATATGAATGACCCTTACTTACAGTACTCTCTGAAGTAGCCTAATAAGGTATTCAGTTGTTTCACTAACTTTTCAGGGCAACTAATAAATGCCAGCCTTTACCACAATGTTCACTGCTGAAAAGAGACAAATTGCCAAAATCTTTGCTCTTGCACTCATTAAGACAAACACAAGAATGCCAAACTTCAAATGATCACAATGGCTAGGACTTCCTACAGAGCAAGGTCTGAAGTGAATCATTACAAGGCAATTCTTGCTTTCCGCACCATTATCCAATTATAAAGAAACATTGGCAAAACTGGAAGCAAGACACACAACTACATGCACATTCAGCTTTTGTTTTAAATGCTAAATGAGGAGAACTTAGTAGTATTAGTTAACAACTGAGTGGATGCTGGAACATTCATCTTGTACAGTATCCTTATATATTAAGTAAGCATTTACAAACAATTTTACAAACGATATTCAGAAGTACCTACCAGCTGCTTCAGTGTATTCCTTTGAATGATTCAAAGCAGAGGAGCCAATGTAAAAGTAAGGGTGAATTCCAGGAACTAGAAAAGAAACATTACCAAAATCTGTGGAACCTAAGTCAAAAAATAAAGAAAGAAATCAATATATTTTATGTCAAATATATCACACTGTATTTCTTTTAAGAATAGTTGAATATTCTATAAAATCATACTCACATTATAATGATGTAATTTAAGTTGTGCAAATGCAAACATATACATTTTCATCTCACAATTCCATAATAGGAAGTCTCAATTAAATTTACAAAAATTGTTTATATAATTTGAATATTAAAAATTTTAATTTTACATTTGAATATTTAAAAAAATACAAGAATTTCATGTTTGTGAGTTTCATAACTTTAACGTGAGGGGGCAAGGGAGAGAGAGAGAGAGAGAGACAAAATAAAGGACTTGGGAGCAGAAGTAGGCCATTTGGCCCTTCAGGTCTGCTCTACTATTCAATAAGTCCATGGGTGATCTGGTTGTGAACATTAAAGCACAAATAGCAACAATGCAGTAAATACCAGCAATGCAATAAAAAAGTGTTCAGCCATTATTAACTCGTTAGAAACAAGTAGGTGGATGATTGTCCCATCTGATAAAATCTGAAAACTTACAAGTTAGACTATGAAATAAAGATAAAGTCACAATAGTCTCAGAAGACCATAGGGATGTTATTTCATTAGAGAGAGATGACTGGTGGTGGCTTAACCTGATGGTCACCAAACCTCAGATGAGGGGTGAATTTAAGAAGAGTCCTTCATAGTAACTTCAGCCAGTGCAGGAATTGAACGTATGCTGTTAGTGTCACTCTACATTGCAAACCAGCTGTCCAGCCAACTAAGCTAAACAAACCCAAGTATGTAGCATTTGTAATTTTAAAACAGTTCATGTATAGCAGGAAAATTGCAGATAGTAACCTGATCTGGTCACTATTGAAATTCTAGTTTAATGCATGGATATGTTTAGAAAATGGAATAAATCAACATTATTAGCAAATATAAAATTGTTGCTGGACAAAATGAAAAGAAAGTTAAGAACCAACAGGAAGAATTGAAAATGAATTTCAGTCTTATTTGGAAAATCTCAATCATCATTTAAATCCCTGACAATTTAATGGAGATACTATTCTAGAGTAAAACTGAAAAACACAAATCACATCCTTTCATGGTTACAAAGCATTGTTTGCAATCCAACATCTTTAAACTTTTTATCTAATTTTCAGATCTTTGTGTAGGACTTCAGAAGAAAATGAGGGAAACTACAAAAAGGAAATAAAGGAATAATCAAGGAAAGATATTAAAATGGATTCTTACTAGAAATCAGCTGTCTCTTTCAGGGTAAGTTTCTCACCATGAGGCCTAGCAAGTTTTCTTGTGCTATTGTCCCATACTGACCTCAATAACCATGCACCTCACCCCTATGGTACCCGACTTAGAGGTTCTCTCCACTGCCAGAACATCTTGGGAGTCCTGGTGGCAGTGCCATCTTAAAAGGCTTTTGTGCACTCGGACAAGTGCTGGCAGTCCATAGCTGTCCTGTATGGTTCGATTAAGTTGCCACACATGCCAGATGAGGGGAAACTGGTGTTGCAAACAGTGACTTGGCTGTCCTGTTGTATGGGTGGTGCAGAGGAGGGCAATCCTCTTCCCTCAGGACCCCCAGAGGAAGCTGTGACCCCAGACCAACCTGATCCAAAGTTGCTACTCAGATCAATTGGTCTCCATGGCTTGCCAGAATAAATGCCACCATCTTTGCTGTGCTACCTCACACACCCTCTCCCTGTTTCTGCATTTACCTCCCACCAAAGGCTCATGCTCTACTGCTCTCACTTTTTTATTTGTATTCATTCAAGGGATGTAGGCATCACTGCTAGGCCAACATTTACTGTATTACCATTCCTAATTGCCCAGAAGGTGGATAAGAATCAACCATATTGCTGTGGGTCTGGAGTCACATGTAAGCAAGACCCAGGTTAGGAATGGTAGTTTCAATTTTCACTATTGCCTGCAAAATCTTCCCTTACTCAGTGTCACCCATCCCAACACCCTCACAGAGGCACGGCCTCTATTTCCTACCCATTCAGTCGGGACACCTTTTCCCCATGTGCATTAGCATTAGCAACTGTGCCACCCGATGTTACCACTCTCATTGCCTCCTGCAACCTCACCAGCTCCAATACTGACACCTTGGTGGACATGTGATCCAGATTAGAGTTAGGAGCACCCGCGATGAACACATCACTGCCACAATTCGGGGCGGCACGGTGGCTCAGTGTTTAGCACTGCTGCCTCACAGCACCAGGGACCCGGGTTCAATTCAAACCTCGGGCAACTGTCTGTGTGGAGTTTGCACATTCTCCCAGTGTCTGTGTGGGTTTTCTCCTCAGTTTCCTTCCTCAGTCCAAAGATGTGCAGGTTAGGTGGATTGGTCATGCTAAATTGCCCATAATGTTCAGGGATGTGTAGGTTAGATGGGTTACAGGGGATGGGTTATACGGGATGGGTCTGGGTGGGATGCTTTGAGGGTCTGTATGGACTTGTTGGGCCGAAGGGCCTGTTTCCACACCGTAGGGATTCTATGTGAAGTCTGTGAATTCCTGCAGCTGGTCAAAGCAGAAATGCCCCAGTTCATTCGCACTCAGAGGTCTGCCACAAATCAGATACCTACTCATCCCCAGGCAGGAGAGGATTTCATAGTTAGTAGGAACTGGTATACTGCATCCGCTGTGGCTTCCTCTACATCGAGGAAACCAAGCGGAGGCTCGGGGACCGCTTTGCAGAACAGCTACGCTCGGTTCGCAATAAACAACTGCACCTCCCAGTCGCGAACCATTTCAACTCCCCCTCCCATTCCTCAGATGACATGTCCATCCTGGGCCTCCTGCAGTGCCACAACGATGCCACCCGAAGGTTGCAGGAACAGCAACTCATATTCCGCTTGGGAACCCTGCAGCCCAATGGTATCAATGTGGATTTCACAAGCTTCAAAATCTCCCCTCCCCCTACCGCATCCCAAAACCAGTCCAGCTCGTCCCTGCCTCCCTAACCTGTCCTTCCTCTCACCTGTCCCCTCCTCCCACCTCAAGCCGCACCCCCATCACCTACCAACCAACCTCATCCCGCCCCCTTGACCTGTCCGTCCTCCCTGGACTGACCTATCCCCTTCCTAACTCCCCACCTACACTCACCTTTACTGGCTCCATCCCCGCCTCTTCGACCTGTTTGTTTCCTCTCCACCTATCCTCTCCTCTATCCATCTTCTATCTGCCTCCCCCTCTCTCCCTATTTATTTCAGAACCCCCATCCCCTCCCCGATTTCTGATGAAGGGTCTAGGCCCGAAACGTCAGCCTTTCCGCTCCTATGATGCTGCTTAGCCTGCTGTGTTCATCCAGCGCTGCACCTTGTTGTCTCGGAGACTACTTTCTAGTTCATGTAGATGGCACATGCGACACTTACTTGTAAATACATTTTGTTCACTAATGTTCATTTTTAGCCATCAGATAGGTGAGTGAACGTCTCTCTAGATGCAACTGCAAATTGAAGGTGCAAAGCCCAACAATCCTTAGAGCTACATGATGTTTTGTAGCCCACCGTGTGGAGTGAGCATTTCCTTTATCATGTGCATACTATGGGAACTGGAAAGGTGCTTGCAACTTTGGCAAATGGGGTGAATGTTTCCACGCCACAAAACAACACTTGTGCATCACACCCATTAGTGGAATTGATTTTTAGTTCACAAAGTAGGTTAATACTCAGGATTCAGCTAATATGTCCTGCATTCTGTATGGGTATATATGCAATGTCTTTGAAGGGTCTCGTGTAACTCGCAAATGAAGCCCCTCCCTCACAGAATGAGAATCAAACCCTAAAACCACCACCACCACCCACCCTCCTCCCTGCACTCTGGGTGTGCTCACAACCATTTCTATCTCCATTGTGCACTGGTTATTTATAGCATAGTGGAAAGATACAATGGTTGCTCTTTATGCAGTGAGTCTCAGGCTCATCCTCTTACCCTTGGTGATGCTCAAATGTAAACGTTCCCTAATTATAGCTTTCCCAAGTAAACGCCATCAGTTTTGAACTACTCCACATTTCCACCCGACCAGTCTATCAAACTCTTCATGTCCCCATTTTACCGATCCAGCCCCAAGCATTATTGATGATGCTGGTATGTTAGTCCACTGTCCTCCATCAAAGCTGGTTGTTGTTGCTGTCAATGATATCCTCTCTCCCACTGCTCTTCAATTCTCTATAGCCTCTTCTCTTGGAGATATTTTCTAATGAACCTGCTCAGAGATGTTATTACCCACTTCTGAAGCACAGGTGGCAACCATGACAAGCTGCCTGGCTTTGTGCCTGTGCTGAAGGGCAACTAAAGACAGAGTAATGAGAGTCTTTAAGCTCTAACTGAGGGAGGAACAAAATGCAAAAAAGGAAACCGTAGCATCAAGTTGGCAAAAAAAGAGTGAGCGTTAAAAGAACAATCAAAGACCTCGGACAGGCAGCCTGGTTAATCCATGAGCTCAGTGCCTATACCTGCACACAGGTGGCAGTATTCCAATGATAGGTGCAGTGCGCTCCAAAGTGCAGCATTAAAGTGCAATGTATTGATTGTGGATTGGAAACATGCCATGATGAAGGAGTGAGGCTGGTACATGTTCGATGCCAAGGTCTGTGGATGGGGGGGGGTGCAGTGTATGCAGTCACTGTCCATGGAGTATGCCCTGCGATTTGGTGCCTGGTGTCCAGGATAGACACGTGGAGGAGCAAATGATAAACTGGAGTTACCAGATAACTGGGCTGACTTTCATTTTGGAAATCATTACTGCCTAGCATCTATCAACGACTGGGAGAATTGGAAAACACCATATAAATGACATACAATGTAACTAATAATGATGTTTAAATACATGTTAAAAGCATGCAAATAAGCTTCTCACTACTCACTACCTAGAATCTATTTTCAACGTTCAACACTCCCTTGGAAAATAGGAAATTTAGCTCTCGAAGGAGAAACTCCTCAAGACCACAGGACACAGGAACAGGACTAGGCCCTTCAGCCCCTCAAGCCTGCTCCGCCATTCAATAGAATCATGGCTGATTTGAAATTCCTCACACCCATTTTCCTGCCATTTCCCCATAACCCCTTGTTTCCCCATCAATCAAAAATTTATCTCAGCTTGAACATGCACAAGAACTCTGTCCCCACAGCAAGGAGTTTCAAAGACTCACAACCATTACAGAAGAAATTCCTCCTCATCTGAGTCTTAAATTGATGCCCCTTTATTCTGAGACTATGCCCTCTGGTCCTGATTTTTCTATGAGGGGAAACATCTTCATAGCATTTACCCTGTCAGACCCCTTAAGAATCCTATATATTTCAATGAGATCACCTCCCATTCTTCTAAACTCCAATGAGTCAAGTCCAAACCTGTTTAGTCTTTGCTCATAAGACAATGCCTCCATACCAGGGATCATCCTAGTAAACCCTCTGAACTGCCTCCAATGAAACAATACCTTCTGTTTTTGTCCAGAAGATTAAGTCACATAGAATCCATGGTGAATTGGCAAATTTGATACAAAATTGGCTTGGTCACAGAAGTCAGAGGGTAGTTGTGGAGAGGTGTTTTTCTGATTGGAGGATACTGAGGAAGGTTATCAAAGAATACATCAGGAGATGGATAAATTGGAAAGTTGAGCGGAAAAAAGGCAGATGGAGTTTAATCTGGACAAGTGTGAGGTGATGTATTTTGGAAGGTCAAATGCAGGAGGAGAGGATACAGTAAATGGCAGGACTCTTTGGAGAATTGATGTACAGAGGGATCATGGGGCCCAAGTCCATAGCTCCCGAAAAGCAGCAACACTAGTGGATGAGGTGGTAAAGGCAGCATATGGCATGCTTGCCTTCATCGGATGGGACATTGAATATAAAAGTTGGCAAATCCTGTTGCGAATGTATGAGACTTTAGTTGGGCCACATTTGGAGTATTCATTTCATTTCTGGTTGCCACACCAGGAAGGATGTGAAGGCTTTGGAGAGGGTGCAAAAAAGGTTTACCAGATAGTTGCCTGGATTGGAGTGTATTAGCTACAAGCAGAAGTTGGACCCACTTGATTGACGTATATAAAATTATGTGAGGCATGGATAGGGTGGATATTCAGAGTCTTTTTCCCAGGGTGGAAATGTCAAATACTTGGGGGTGTAGGTTTAAGGTGAGATGGGGAACATTTAAAAGATGTGCAAGGCAATTTATTTATAAAGAGGTTGCAGGTGCCTGGAAAGCGCTGCCAGGGGAGGCGGTAGAAGTAGATACATTAGTAAATTTTAAGAGGTACTTAGACACATGAACTGCCAGAGAATAGAGGGAATCGGACCACGTGCAGGCAGATGGGATTAGTTTAGAATGGCATCGTGATCGGCACAGACACTGTGGGCCTGAGGGTCTATTCTTGTGCTGTATTACATTCCAAGTTAAATATTTCTTCGCTGGCCATCTCACCTAATTTTCCCAACTTTCTCACCATGGTCTATGTCATTTAGGGTTTGGGAAGGAGCTCCCATTGTATATTTAGTCTGAAAAACTGATTTTTAACTTCTTTGGCTCAGCGGGAACTTTTAGAACTTCTTGGCATCAGTTTGGTGCCTGCCAATAGCAGGGGCAAAATCTAAGCACTGTATTGACTGTTTCAGATTGAACCATGCATAACATTTTCACAAATTAGCACAATTTCAAAAGCGTGCTCAGTTTTCAACAGATCACTAGAAACTGTTTAAAATTGATCAGAAATTCTGGCCATTGTCTGCTCACTTTGCTGGTCGAAACTAATGAATGTTAAATTAGGGCTGGGGCGTGGGGTTAGGGGTTGTTGAGAGAGACAGAGACAATGATTGAAACGAAGGGAATGAACATTGGGAAGACCAGTTATCTGAAGAAGAAAATCATTTGAAAATTCAAACAGTAAAGGGAAAAGAAATCCAAGCTGTACCTGTTGAAATGTAAATAGTAAAATACTAGTCGTAGATTTACCAAATAGTGTGTTCAAAACTTCACCAGTTGAAAATTTCATGCCAAGACTTCTGCCATTCACTTCATACAGATTTTGGAGTGTCTCATTTGGAACCACATTATAAAATTCTGTCTTCATAAATTCCAGCTCAACCTGAAAATGAATAAATAGTTAATAAATAATCATTGACCAGTTGGTAAATAACCAGTCTCTTGATTGTGAGGTTTCCACATAAATTCAATCATTAACCAATTTTACTGGAAATATGAACAGATTTTCACAAACTAGATTTGAAAGCTATGTATAATTATCCTTTCAAAATAGCTTTATGTTAGTTTTGTTTTCTCTATGTTGTGAAAGTTGTGGAGAGATTTCCTATGAACGGACATTGTGGATTACACTGGATCAGTTTGGAAAAGAGTGCATAAGAAGCTGAGAAATTAAGAAAAGTCTAATATATTTCTATCAAGTATATAACTACCAAGTATTGCTGGAGAAACTCAGCAGGTCTGACAGCATCTGTTGAGAGAAAGCAGAGTTTCGGGCCCAGCAATTTCCTTTTTTGTTTTGGATTTCCAGCATCCTCAGTTCTTTTTTTTTCCCAAATAAATGAATTTAGCTCTTTCATAAATAAAGCAGTTATACAACAAAGAACAAAGAAAATTACAGCACAGGAACAGGCCCTTTGGCCCTCCAAGCCTGCACCGATCCAGATCCTCTATCTAAACCTGCCTATTTTCCAAGGATCTGTATCCCTCTGCTCCCTGCCCATTCATGTATCTGTCTAGATACATCTTAAATGATGCTATCATGCCCGCCTCTACCACCTCCAGTGGCAACGTGTTCCAGGCACCCACTACCCTCTGCGTAAAGAACCTTCCACGCACATCTCCCTTAAAAACTTTTCCCCTCTCACCTTGAAATCGTGACCCCTAGTAATCGAGTCCTCCACTCTGGGAAAAAGCTTCTTGCTATCCACCCTGTCTATACCTCTCATGATTTTGTAGACCTCAATCAGGTCCCCCCTCAACCTTCGTCCTTCTAATTAAATAATCCTAATCTACTCAACCTCTCTTCATAGCTAGTGCCCTCCATACCAGGTAACATCCTGGTGAACCTCCTCTGCACTCTCTCCAATGCATCCACATCCTTTTGGTAATGTGGCAACCAGAACTGTACGCACTATTCCAAATGTGGTTGAACCAAAGTCCTATACAATTGCAACATGACCTGCCAACTCTTGTTCTCAATACCCCGTCTGATAAATGAAAGCATGCCGTTTGCCTTCTTGACCATTCTATTGATCTGCGTTGCCAGCTTCAGGGTACAATGGACCTGAACACCCAGATCTCTCTGTGCATCAATTTTCCCCAGGGCTTTTCCATTTACCGTATATTTCGCTCTTGAATTGGATCTTCCAAAATGCATTACCTCGCATTTGCCTGGATTGAACTCCATCTGCCATTTCTCCACCCAACTCTCCAATCTATCTATATTCTGCTGCATTCTCCGACAGTCCCCTTCACTTTCTGCTACTCCACCAATCTTAGTGTCATCTGCAAACTTGCTAATCAGACCATCTACACCTTCCTCCAGATCATTTATGTATATCACAAACAACAGTGGTCCCAACACGGATCCCTGTGGAACAAAACTGGTTACAGTTCTCCATTTTGAGAAACTCCCTTCCACTACAACTCTCTGTCTCCTGTTGCCCAGCCAGTTCTCTATCCATCTAGCTAGTACACCCTGGACCCCATGCGACTTCACTTTCTCCATCAGCCTACCATGGGGAACCTTATCAAATGCCTCACTGAAGTCCATGTATATGACATCTACAAAAGCAGTTATGACGTTATAGATTTTTGTTTAAAAAAAACTGATCCAGGCAAGTGGAATGTTAAATGTCATAGCGGATCATTAGTACTACTGAACAACATCCCTGACTCCAAGAAGCTAATTTTATAATAAATTCAAGTGATTTATATTCCTTCACTTATGATATTTCTGCTTTTAAGTATACACTTCAATATTTTTCACTTTCTACAAGAGTATTAAAAAAATCAATAAGAAGACTTGCTTGTTTCTTTCAGGTTTGCTGTCTGATTGGTGCTTGCCCCTCTAGACGACATTACTGCTGGATGCTTGAAGTACTGATATGAGAATGAAATTACAACAGAAAACTCGGTCTTTGTATGCAGCTTCCCAAGGAGTCAGTAGCAAAGTGATTTTCTAAGTTTATACAGTTATCATCGTGCAATAACTACCTTGCATCCTGTTGCCAAGCCAGCAGCTTTGAAACACTGTGTTGCTTTCTCACGTAGTATATGCAGGTCTTTGTACTTTGGAGTGCGTAGACAACATACCAGCTCCGTGTACGATGGAATAATATTTGACTTTAATCCTCCATGTTTAATAATACCTAGTAGCAAAGTCAACATTATGATCAAATAATCAAAACTCTGCATTTTGTCCTCATACGTGCCTACATTGCTTATATGAACTGTGAGTGAGAGAGAGAGAGAGAGAGAGAAAAACAGGTGGTTCCCCATTAGGTAGAATGCAAGTAGGAGGTGGTTCTATGGTTGAAGAGTTAGGACCAATAGAAAGTTAATGGAAGATTATTTGCCCTGGTCAGTACGAGAAGATTCCAGAAATATCTACAAATCATTCATAGATGAAGCTTACACAGTATAGATTTTAGTTTTAATGGTTCAATATCTCGTGAACGTTTAACATTTCAGAGCACCATTTATAACTAGAGTTGTTTACGTCATCATATGGCCTATTAATTAATAAGGAAAGGTTGAGAAGATTGCACCTTCTGATGCATCAGAAAAATGAAAGGAGACCTTGTGAAACATTAAAGATTCTGAGGGATTTTGACAGGCCAGGATTTCCTGAAAGTATATTGCTCCTCATGAGGATATTTAGAAAGTGCATAATTTCAAAATAAGGGACCTCCAATTTAAGATAGGGATAAAGAGGAATATCTTCTCTGAGACGATCATTAGTGTTTGGAATTCTCTCCCACAGTGAGCAATGGAGGCTGTGTCTTTGGATATCTTCAAGGTTGAGTTAAGACAGATTTTTGAATAAGAGACTCAAGCATTACAGAGGACAAACAGGAAAGTGGAGCCAAAGCTACAATCAGATCACCCATGATATTTTGAATACTAGGGCAGGTTCTGGCAGGCTGAATGGTCTACTCTTGGTCTTAGTTCTTAAGTTTCCCATGTTAACAGAAATAGGAAAATTGCAGGAAATAAAAATGGAAAAAGCAGGTTTTGGTTTTAATTATTTATTCTTGGGATAGGTACCTGAAAAGCCAGTACTTACTGCTAACCCCCCATTACCTTCGAGAAGGCTATGATGAACCACCTTCTTGAACTGCTGTACACGCACAATGCAGTTACAGTCACAGAATCAAAGAGTCACATAGCACAGAAACAGACCCTTTGGTCCAACTCATCTACGCCGACTAGACATCTCAACGTGACTTAGTCCCATTTGTAGCATTTGGCCCATATCCCTCTAAATCCTTCTTATCCATATACCCATTCAGATGCCTTTTAAATGCTGCAATTGTACCCGCCTCCATTACTTCCTCTGGCAGCTCGTTTCATACGAACACCACCCTCTGCGTGAAAAATTTATCCCTCAGGTCCTTTTTAAATCTTTCCCCTCTCACCTCTAGTTTTGGATCCTCCCACCCTAGGAAAAAGACTTTGGCTATTCACCTTATCCATGCCCCTCATCATTTTATAAATCTTTAAGGTCATCCCTCAGTCTCCAACGCTCCAAGGAAAATAGCCTCAGTCTATTCAGCCTCTCCCTATAGCTCAAACCCTCCAGTCCCGGCAATGTCCTTGTAAATCTTTGGTTCACCATCTCAAGTTTAACAACATCCTTCCTATAGAAGGGCGACCATAATTGTTTGCAGTATTCCAATAATGTCCTCACAACCGTGACATGATGTCCTAATTCCTATACTCAATGTTATGATCAATGAAGCAAGCAGGCCAAACATCTTCTTCACCACACTGCCTACTTGTGACTCCATTTCAAGGAATTATGCACCTGAACCCCTAGGTTTCTTTGTTTGGTAACACTCCCCAGGACTCTACCATTTACTGTATAAGTTTTGTCATGATTTGCCCTACCAAAATGCAACGCCTCGTATTTATCCAAATTAAATTCCATCAGCTACTTCTTGGCCCATTGGCCCATCTGATCAAGGTCCTGTTGTACTCTGAGATAATTTTCTTCACTGTCCACTACACCACCTATTTTGGTGTCATCTGCAAACTTACTAATCATACCTCCTTTATTCACATCTAAATCATTCATATAAAACACGAAAACCAGAGGACCCAGCACTGATCTTGTGGTACACCACTGGTCATAGGCCTCCAGTTAGAAAAACAGTGCTCCACCACCAACCCCTGTCTCCTGCTTTCAAGCCAATTTTATATCCCATTGGCTAGGTCCCCCAGATCCCATGTGATTTAACCTGACTAACCAGTCTATCATATGGAATCTTGTCAAATGCTTTACTGAAGTACATATAGGCAATGTCTACCAGTCTGCCTTTAATAAATCTTCTTTGTGTTATCACGCTTTGTCACCAGTTATGGGGGAGATTCCAAAATTTTTACCAGCAAAAGTGAAGGAATAGTAATAAATTTCTGTTAGGATAGTCACCCGCAGGAACTTGAGCTAGGTGGTTGAGCTCCCGAGTGACTGCAGCAGCTTGGTGGGGTATGTCTTTATCATGTCTACGTCTAATTCAATCCCATTGGGTCTTTTGGTTTTCTTATTAGACTCTGCAGTGTTTGATACTACCAAGTGACTCCCTGGGCTAATTCAGAAAGCAGTGAAGAGTCAATCACATTGACTCTTGGAGTCATACGTAGACCAGGCTGGGTTAGGAGGGCAAAAGACATTAGTGAACAGATGGCTTCTTTTATTAAAAATCTGCTGTTTCATGGTCACACTGGAAAAAGCTCTTTTATTCAAGTTTTATATCAAGTTTTTTATTCAAATTAGTTTAATTCAAATCTCCCCAGCTGCCATTACTCACTTAGAACTTAATTTTGGATATAGATAGTTGAATGTTTAGGAATTTGGCCAAAGGTCTTTTCATTTTATAGTAAGCATAATCTATTCTTGGTGGTGGAAGTCATAGGCTTTTTGTAGCACCTTTCTTGTTTCTTTGAAGAGTCGGCCATTTCATCTAATGAATTTTAGACAAATGTCACAGAACTGCAAGTATAGTTTAAGCAGGAACTCCAAGGACCAAGGGTGGGCTAGTTGACCCTTTCAATCTGTTCCATCATTCAAGAAGATTGAAAAACTAACATTTTGTTCTGCAATAATCTAGGGGAGAATGCGCCCCTTCATTGCGTAAATATTGTAATCTATCCTTCTACAACGTGTTGCCTTACAGCTATTAATGCTGTAAGGATACCACAAGGATCTGTTCTGGGTCCTCTTCTATTTGTGATTTTTGTAAATGATTTGGATGAAGGAGTGGAAGGGTGGATTAGCAAGTTCGCGGACGATACGAAGGTGGGTCACGTTGTGGACAGTGCGGAGGGCTGTTCTAGGTTACAAAGGGACATTGATAGAATGCAGAGCTGGGCTGAGAAGTGGCAGATGGAGTTTAACCCTGAAAAGTGCGAGGTGATTCATTTTGGAAGGACAAACTTGAAAGCAGAATACAGGGTTAACGGAAAGATTCTTGGAAGGAGCAGAGGAATCTTGGGGTTCATGTTCACAGATCCCCGAGAGCTGCCACCCAGGTGGATGGAGTTGTTAAGAAGGATAGAGGGATTGAGTTCAAGAGCCGTGAAGTTATGCTCCAGCTATACAAAAGCCTGGTTCAGCCACATTTGGAGTATTGTGTCCGGTTCTGGTCACCTCATTACAGGAAAGATGAGGAAGCGTTGGAAAAGGTGCAGAGGAGATTTACCAGGATGTTGCCTGGAATGGAGGGAAGGTCTTACGACGAAAGGTTGAGAGAGCTAGGGCTTTTCTCTTTAGAACAATGAAGGACGAGAGGTGACTTGATAGAGGTGTACAAAATGATCCGAGGTATAGAGAGACAGCCAGAGACTTTTTCCTAGGGTGCAGGTAGCTTTTACGAGGGGACATAGTTTTAAAGTGAAAGGAGGTAGATATCGGGGAGACGTCAGAGGTAGGTTCTTTACTCAGAAAATGGTAGAGGCGTGGAATGCATTGCCGGAGAGGGTAGTGGAGTCGGCCACATTAGGGGCATTTAAGTGGCTATTAGATAGGCATATGGATGATAGTATAAGGTAGCGGTGGAGGTTAGAAAGACCTTAGGTTTAGGGTAAAAGTTCGGCACAACATCGTGGGCCGAAGGGCCTGTACTGTGCTGTACTGTTCTATGTTCTATGCTCTAATGCTCAGCAGGGTGCAATTTGGCTCAGGGCAAGACATCTGCTCTAAATGGAGAGGAAGTCTCATCTCACACAGCTGGCAGTCAGTTGATTGGTCCCAATAGTGGCAGAAGGCCTGCTGGAACAGCAAGTAGACCCGAGCAGAGATCATCACCAGTGACATCAGGAGAGGTAAATGTAGTGGGGTTTCTGACGGCCAGGCTAGGAGACCTTGGTAAGGGAGAGAACCATGGTGGAGCCTCCAATAGGCCCAAGAGCATGTGAAGCAATTCCTTGCCCAGCAGCATACTGAGCAGACCACTTAAGGGCCTCAACTGATCCAATGGGGGATGGGCCACCTGACACCTCCTTGTCACTCAAAATTACAGTGGGACAGGTAAGTAGGCACCAAGCACAGCGTCTATCACATTACACCCAATTTCACACTTCTTGCTTGCCTTCCAGCCTGACCTAGGGATGCATAAAATTCTGTTTTGAGTTTCTACAGAAACAAAAAACAAATATTTATCAAAACAGATGTCAACAACTGTTTGCAGCAATGTGATTCAATGGCTGAAATAATGCATCCTTAATGTAATCAACCTACCATGAAGTTGCCAATTGGGTTTTAGCTGTTGCCTTAATACTGACAAGTTGTTGTAAGCCAAAACTGCAGCATCTAATGCATTTAATCCTTCCCAGGGATAACCAGCAGCATGAGTGGCTTTTCCAAAATACTTTACAATGATCCTGAAAATATAGAACAAATAAATGCACAAAAATGAAAAAAAAAGTACCACTGTGGAACATTAAGTTACAAATGTTTACCTTGTAATGCTCCCTTCATTTCAAAGAACTGAAAGTTCCATATTTAGCTTGCATGTGTGAACATTAGACACTGTTTGCAAACACAAGGTTAAATGCCAAAATTTCAGTCTGCACATCAGCTCCAAGTGAAAAATACACCATGATATTTTGTTTCCTATATAATCACCCATAGCCTTTCAAAAACATCAAACAATACTTGGTTTTCTTCCGGAAATTGCACCAAAAAAAATTGTTGAAGCTACACTCCTGACTTTTCAAAAAATCAAAAACATTATTTGAAATTTGGGAAAGCTGCCATACAGCTCTCAGAAAAGTGAGGTGAGCAAAAATCAGATTTGTTTATGGGAACTGTTTTCAAATAAACGTGGTACCAAGTGAATTCAGATTTGTTACCAAAATGGACAGACCTTGCTTTCTGGGTAGGTAATGACAACCGTCCAGAATATTTCCTCTTGAATCTACTTCACATATTATAATCTAAAGCAGATTAAAGTAGGAAGAGAAAGGGAACTTCACATTTTTTAAAAAAGGACATTATCTTTGTTGATTGACTAGAAATACAACTGTTACAGCCTCTGAAATCTGCACAAATTGATGGACTCACTCTAAGGGAACTCAAATAATGAAATGGGTGGAAAGAAGGATCTTATTTTGTGAAATCCAGTATATATGGGATTGTGCTGTGACAGAAGCAGATATTAAAGCTGAGGGAGGTTGAAGAATTAAAAGTTCAAAGCTTGCATTACACCAGAATAAACATACGAATGCTGTTGATTATACTGGGACTACATGTGATGAACTACAACCGTAGGACTGGTTTTAACTTATGTCAGTCTAACAGAATCGTGAGTAAGATCAAAATTGGCATCAGTAGATTTACCACACAACTCACATTCCAGCTGCCACAGTTTTTGCTTCTTTTGTTTAAAAAAACTGACTTTGGGTTATGGGTGCCGCCGGCCAGATTGGCATTTATTGTCAATCCCCAGTTGCCTGGAGAACTGAGGGTTTGAATCATGTGAGTTGGGAGTGTACTCAAATACAGACCACAAGGGGCAGGAATGGCAGATTTCCTTGCGCAAGGACGACGTTAATGGAGCAGTTTAGTTTCTAAGTGGCAAATCAACAGCTTCTTGGTCACATATTTGTAACAGCTATATTTTGATTACGAACTGAATTCAAATTCTCAAACTGCCATGATGGACTTTGACTGTATGTTCTCCGTCAAGTAAAATAATCATTGAACAACCATATTTGCATAATTCAAGGTTTTTGGGAAGATTTGTAGCTCGGGTTGCTGATGCGGTTATTGACTTCCTCGCTGAGTCGGTAAGTTTGTTCATAAATGTTTTGTCACCATGCTAGGTAACATCATCAGTGCGCCTCTGGTGAAGCATCTATGTTCTGTCCCGCTTGCTATTTATGTGTCACGGTTTGCTGGGGTGGGTGGCATCACTTCCGGATTTGTTTTTTAGTAGTTGTTATAGGGGATCCAGTTCTACATATTTGTTAATGGAGTTCCGGTTTGAGTGCCAGGCCTCCAGGATTTCTCGTGCATACCTTTGCTTGGCTTATCCTAGGATGGCTACGTTGTCCCAGTTGAATTGGCGTCCCCTTTTTGTTCACGTGTATTGAAATGAGCGATAGTTGGTCATGTCTCTTGGTAGCTAGTTAATGTTCGTGAATCCTGATGGCTAGTTGCCTTCCCGTTTGCACCATGTCATGTTTTTGGCAGTCTTTGCATGATATCCTGTAAGTAATGTTGGTTCTGTTAGCTGTGGTTGTCAGATCCTTTATTCTCATCAGTAGCTGCTGTAGTGTAGCTGTTGGTTTGTGGGCTACCATGATTCCTAGGGGTGGTGTAATCTGGTGGTCATTTCAAATGTGTTCGTAATGTATGGTAGCTTGACTAGAGTCTCTGGATGTGTTGCATCTTCCTGTTGGGGTCTGTTGTGTAGGTATCTGTCATCTATGCTTTTTGAGTAATTGTTGTTTTGGCTTTGCGCAGCTCTGGGGTGCTGCAGTGTGTTGTAGCTCGCTTGATCAGTGTTTTGATGCAGCTCCCCTTGTGGGTTTGGAATGATTGCTGTTGTTGTTGAGTACCTGATCCACATGGGTGGCCTTCCTGTTTACGCTAGTCTGGAGCTCACTGTTGGCCTTACGTTTGACCATTATGTCCAGGAAGGGAAATCTGTTGTTCTCCTCTTCCCTTGTGAATTTTATGCCAGTGAGCATGTTGTTCATGAGTAGATGGGTTTCCTCCAGTTTACAGCGTTTGCTAATAACAAATGTGTCATCCACATAGTGGATCCATAGATTTGGTTGGATTGTGAGAAGGGCTGTCCATTCCAGTCTTTGCATTACGGCTTCCACTATTAATCCTGATATCGATGATCCCATGGGTGTTCCATTGATTTGTCCGTATACCTTGCCGTTGAAAGTGAAGCGCATTGTGAGGCACAGATCCAGTAGGTTGGGGTGCTGTCTTTGCTGTTGGTGTTGTCGGGTGTCTGTATCCCTGGTCTGTCTAGTAACGAGGCTAGTGTTTCCTTAGCTAGGGGGATGTTTATGGAGGTAAATAGTGCAGTCACATCGAAGGAGACCATGATCTCGTCCTCATCGAGTCTGGCGTTCTTATGATGTTGAGAAATTCTTGGGCAGAGTGGATGGAGCAGTTTGAGCCGTCTACTAGGTATTTCCGTCTCCTTTGTAGTTCTTTCGTTGGTCTGTACGTCAGTGTACCCAGAAGTGAGACCGTGGATCTGAGGTGGACCTCTGGCTTGTGTACCTTGGGGAATCCATAGAAATGGAGTATGTTTGATCCCTCTGGTTTCATTCTCTGGTAATCAAATTTGCTAATTTCACCCGTTTTGTGTAGATTCCTCAGGGTGGTTATAATACGATTTTCTAGCTGCAGTGTTGGGTCTATCGCCATCTGTTAGTAGATGTTGGTATCTGCAAGTAAAGTATTTGCTTTCTTGATGTACTGTATTCTGTTCAGTATGACAGTAATGCAGCCTCTGTCCACAAAGTTCCTGTCTCTCTGGAGTCGTTGTAGGGCCTTCCTCTCTAGTGTGTTGAATGTGTTTCCTTCATTCCTTCTACTTAGTGTTGGGGCTACTATCTGTCTGACAGTGCTGGGTTTAGATGTAGAGCTGGATCCCATGTACCAACTACTATCTACCCACCCTAGCAAACCGAGACACGTAAGTAGCAAGCGGGACAGAACACCAACGCTTCACCGGAGGTGTACTCTTGACGTTACCTAGAATAGTGACGAAACGTCTGCCATCAAACTTACCAGCTTGGCGAGCAAGTCAACAACCATATCTGCATAATATGCTTGGTGGCCAAAAATTACCATCTATTGAATGAGATGTTAACTGAGGTCTTGTCTCTGGTCAACGTAAAAAATTCCAAGGCACTATTTGAAGAACAGCTGGAGAACCCCCCTCAGTATCTTGAACAAAATCAACAACGAATATCCCACAATCAACATCACAAATTGTGTATGCACATATTTTGTAGTTATTTACAATAACAGTTACAGTGCAGTTACATTTTACTGATAAAATTTAACTATCATATGTGACTACGTGCACGAAGTGTTCCATTGAAAGCTTCAATTTAAACACAGAAACAAAAACAATCTAACACTATTTCAATACTAGTTTTGGAATGCTGGTGAAAGTAAATATACTGCCACGTTTTCTTAGAAGACTGATGATACTTCCACATGTATTTAACTGACTATCATGCACTTCAGATCACCAAAGAATGTAAAATATGCTATACTGAAGCTCTTTTTTAAAAGAAGTATTGTGGAAATGTATTTTTTAACTGCTTTGGAAAAATGAATTGTCATTGAAAGAAAACTAAAGTAAATGAAAACGAAAGCACTCTTTTTAAAATAGTCAAGTCAAATTTTAATAGGCAGGAGAAAATATGAGGAAATGTAAGTTTCAAAATAAAACTACCAGTGACTAATCTTAAAGCTACTGTAAATTTAGAAAAGCATTCCATACACGTACAAATTACATTTTCAATACATTTTTCACTTTTAAAAAAGAAATACAACAGTAACAATTAATGTATTGATAATTTATGTAATCTCTTTCAGAAAGATCCAAAAAGAATAATCAACCACTATGTGATTTACTCACTCAAAGCAACACTTGGCAGGTAAGAAACATCTTGTTGTGAAGGGTGGGCCATGAGTACCATATCCAGATCATTAAATACATCCACTTCAATGAGATCAATTTTTCCTCCACGATCTTCTTCAGCTGGGGTACCAATCACTGAAACCTAAATTACGATGATGGGATTGAAGAGATGAGGGAAGGGCATGGAAACAATGAAATTCAGAGTTTTTCACATAATCTGGTGAAAATAACACATTAAATCACCTTGAGGCTAGTAAAACAGCACGTGAAACATTGTGCAAATATAAATTGGCAAAATAAGATAAACTACACATTATATCCTGTAGTTTGTTTGAAACATTGACTGTAAAATGGCATGACTCTACATAACTGGCAATCTAAAACATTATATGCAAAAACAATTGAACCAATTTATTGAATGAATAACACTAGCTGTGAACAAAGGGGACCCTGTCAATGTACTATACCTGGATTTCCAGAAAGCATTTGAGAAGGTACTATATCAAAGGTTATCGCTGAAAACAAAAACTCAAGTGTTTACTGACTAGGCATTAAGTGTTTTTTTTAATCAGAGTCCAAGTCCAAAATGTTTAGGGGAGGCAATGGCCTAGTGGTATTATCGCTGGACTGTTAAACCAGACCCGGATAATATTCTGGGGACCCAAGTTCGTATCCCACCATGGCAGATGGTGGAATTTGAATTCAATAAAATATCTAGAATTAAGAATCTAATGATGACCATGAATCCATTGTCGATTGTTGGGAAAAACCCACCTGGTTTACTAATGTCCTTTAGGGAAGGAAACTGCCATCCTTACCTGGTCTGGCCTACATGTGACTCCAGACCCACAGCAATGTGGTTGACTCTGAACTACCTCTGGGCAATTAGGGATGGACAATAAATGCTACCTGGCCAGCGATGTCCTCATCCCATTAATAAAGGAAGCTCACACTGTCAGTGAGAGCTTTATTTCAATGAACCACACTCTAGAAACCTTAACACCCTACTGATTACTAGCTCCCCATATTTATACAAACAATTCACACCCAATTAACCCTTACTCACTCATTCCCCCATTCCCTTGGTGCCAGGAATTCCTTTAGGCTAATTACATAATAATGGTATAGGAAGTTTCAGTTGGATATGGATAGGCTGAACGAGTGATCAAAGATTTGGCAGATGGAGAGTAATGTGATAAAACATGGAGTTGTTCACTTTGGCAGGAAGAAAAAAATAACACAATATTAAACAACTGTAGAATTCCAAGGTGCAGAAGGATTGAGATGTTCTGGCGCATGAGACACAAAATGTTACTATGCAGACACAGCATGCAATCAAGGGTAATGGGTAATAGAATGCCATTCTTTATGACAAGAGAAATTGAATGTAAAACTAAGGATATTATGCTTCAGTTATACAAGGCACTGGTGAGACTGCATCTTGAATACCGTGTGTATTTTTGACCTCCTTACATAAAGAAGGATGCAAATGCATTGGAGAAATTTCAGAGAAGGTTTACTGGATTGATAGTTGCACTGAGTGGGCTCTTTTATTCGCTGTCTATAGATTGGACAGGCTTAGCTTGTTTCCACTAGGGTTTAGAGGGTTAGCAGTGACTTGATTGAAGTTTATAAGATCCTTGACAAATTGGACATGGAAAGGGTGTTTTCCTCTTATCTGTCAGTCCATAAATAGGGGACACTGTTTCAAAATTAGGAGTCACTCTTTCAGGATACAGGAGAACATTTCCTGAGGGGGCTGTGTAATTTGGAACTCTGCCTCAGAAGATAATGGAGGTGGGGGTCATTGAATATTTTTAAGACAGAGGTAGACAGATTCTTGATAGGTGGGGTGATCAAGGGCTAACAGATATAGATGGGGATATAGAATTAGAAATACAAACAGATCAGCTATGATCTTATCAAATTACAGGTCAGGTTCAAGGGGCCAAATGGTCAACTTCTGCACCTATTTTGTATGTTTATATACCTTGTCCATTTTAATGAACTCAGTAGGAACCACATGACATCACTTCAGTGATGGTCGATCTGCTGTTCAGAAATCTGCAGACTCAATAACTCCCAGTCCCAAACCGAAAAGCTTTTCAACGGAAAATAATCATGGTAGAACAGTGCTTCAAACGGTAGCTATAGCTTTCAGCTTGCTCCAATAGAACTGCTCACGGTACATGATAGTTCAAATAAAATGACAACCAGGTGGCAAAATACCAAGCTTTCTGGATAGATTGGTAAAAAAAAATGAATACAAATTGTATATTGCAACATCAGGCCAAAAATTTACAAATAGCAACACACACATATATTCTTTATAAGCCATTTATTAAATATGAGCTAACAGGATTATTTCACAAGACTCTTTTTTACAGGGGTCATTAACACTTGCACTGGGCCCAAACTCTGCAAGGTGCTTTGATATCTAGAATTGTAGAACGAAAATACAATGATGGTTTTTAGTTGGAACAAATTACGTAGGTAAGATCAAGGAAAAAATCCTTGTGATGAAGTGTGGAATATGGATGCTAAATTATAAAGCAGGGGCTCAATTGTGATAAACATTTAATTGTTGCCTGACCCATACGTAAACTGGTATGAAGTCAGACAGATCAGGGCAATTCAAGGTCTGCTGTGGGAAACAGGAGCTTCTTTTCATTGGCCACTGGCATCAATACTAGGGCAGTATGGAGTTGTACCAAGGAAATGGCCTCCAACTGAACCAGAATAGGAATGGTATCCAAGTGGAGAAGGTAAATAATGAGACTGGGATCTCAGAAACTTTTAACATTCTAACAGGACTAGACAAATTGAATGCGGGAAGGATGTTCCTGATAACTGGGAAGTCCAAAACTGAGGGTCACAGTCTAAGGGTACAGGATAGGCAATTCAGGACTGAGTTGAAGAGGAATTTCTTCACCCAGAGTGTGTGGAATTCTCTGCCACAGAAAGCGGTTGAGGCCAAAACATTGAATGTTTTCAAGAAGGGGTTAAAGGGATCAAAGAGTATGGTGAGAAAGTGGAATCTGGATACTTAGTTAATAGTGGAGCAGGCTTGAAGGGCGAAATGGCCTTTTCCTGCTCCCATGTTTTTGTAGAAAAGACTATAAACTGATAAAAATTAGTGGAAATGGGGATAAAGTTTGACTATATCTGAAGTAAGCCTAACATAAATGAAACAGGGAACGAATAGGACCAAGTAAACTAAGAAAGGAATAACCAGGGAATACATGGAGTTTCAGAACAAGAGTCAATTAAAAGATGGTTAAAAATAATGAGATAGTAACTCCATCAAAATGAAGCACAACTGGCAATACAGCAACGCACATAGTGAGCTGAATCTCACAAATTACTGCTCCCAAATCTGAAAAAGCAGAAAGGGTGGTTTCTACTTTGGGGCTACCCTGTGTACTTCAGGGACAGTGTTACAAAAATGGCAACCCGACTTCCAAAACCCAAATCCATCACCCCCTCCTGTTGGGTTGTATCCCATTGGTATTATGGAGTATACTTTAAGGGACATGCTCACAACATCATCACCTTATCCTGATGGTAGAAAGGTATCAGTCTTCATCTTAACTGGGGCCACTTGAGGCATGATACGTTGAAGGGTTAAGTGTCTGTGATGGCAATATATATATACATACCTGGAGCTGTAATAAATATCTATTGAATTTTTCAGGACTACATTACCCATGTTTAATTCTTATGTTCTGGGAGCCAACAGAAGTATTGCCTAATCATACATGAAGACCCTGTAAAGGCTAAACAGAAATAACACCACCACTGTGGTTACTGATGACTTCTATCCCCTCCCTGGGGTTCACAACCCCACCCCACCAGAATTCCCAATCTGTGTCCATGTTGTCTTGTCTGTGTTCTGGAACTGCTGCAAGAGGTGTCAGCCAATAAAAAACAGCACACCTGTATACTTTATTATATACAATCTTTTCTTGTATACAGTAAGAATACGTACACTTACTGCTTGTCTCAGCTCAATAAAATAGGTGACAATTATTCTCTAGCTCATTTTGCAGGGCAATGCTTAACCAGTCTACATTAAACAGAACTTCGAAGTTAACTGTCACTTATCATTAACAGATGTATTTTTCATAGCAATGCCTCTCCCAATCAAGAGTCCAGTTGCCAACCAATCAGCTCTCTTATATAATATTCCTGGTGTTTTCTTACTTTGGTATTTCTTCTGAATGATCCTAATCAGTGCAAGATGAAAAGCTTTGAAAAAGTATATATTTTGCCCAGAAATTCTCAAATCAATTTTAATTCCAAAAGGTGCAAGTCTTGCTGACCATTCTCGCTGAATTCTTGAAGAGGACTACGGGGTCTCATTGTATACTTAAGTATACAATTTTAAGTAACTCTTAAGATTTTCAGAAGTACAAACTAATGAATAAGATCAGAGGACAAATAACATAAGGGATAGACAACTGGCTGCAAGACAGAAAGTAGAGAGTGGTGAAGTGTAAATATTCAGAGTGGCAGGAAGTAGATTATGGGGTTCCATTGGATCATTTACAATGTATATTAGTGATATAAACTATGTAATCAAAGACAAGTGCTAAGTTTGCACGTGATAGCAAATTAAGGGGAAGGCATGAGTGGTCAGTTTAATGGAGGATTGCAAGAAATGACAAGATATTACTAAACTTGCAAAATGAGCATATAAAAACCAAAATGCTGTAAATCAGGAACAAAAACAAAGTTGCTGGAAAAGCTCAGCAGGTCTGGCAGCATCTGTGAAGGTAAAAAACAGAGTTAACGTTTTGGGTCTGGTGGCCCTTCCTCAGAATGAGTACATGATTGGCAAATGAATTTAATCACACAAGTGTGAGGTACTACATTTTAGTAAGAAATCTAAGATCATGTTTTACTTGGAAAATAAGAATTAAATGGAGTAGAGGACCAAAGGGATGTTGAAATACAAAAATAGCTAAAAGTAACAATGCAGATTAATAAGTCTATAACAAATGCTAACCAAAAATTAGAGGTTATTTCTACAGGGATAAGATGAAAAATTAGAGAATTCACCTCAGATCCTGGTGTACAAGTTGACCGTTGAAGCCTCCAAATGCACTTTTTGATCTGAACAGTTACAAGGGACTTAAACAT